CCACTCCACTAACCCCGGGGCTCATCCATGGAATAGACACCTAATCAAAACATCAAATTATAGTGATTGTGCTACTTTTATCGACCAATATGCTTTACACAGCATAACGACTTAGGGCATCTTTTTGTGCTCATTTCACTTCTTTTTGATTGGTTCGTAGAATCAAGCTCCTTATCAAGAGCAGATAATTTGAATACGTGAATACCCCATAGATGAACCAAGGGTATAGTGATACCACTGATGACTAGTCTTAAACATCCTTCATCATCCTTGACTTTGCTCAATTGTGTTTAAAACGCAGGGGGGTTCAGAATAGCCTGGGACCTCTCTTCATTTAAATCTGACGCTAACACAATTCATAACTAAAATAATTATTACTGACCCAACAGTTAAGTAAATGTGAATTTTGTAAGAGACCTTTCTGACTATTTTATTTCTGACAAGAAATTCCTGATGCAATTCCATTTATATACATATATAGAATATTTGATGTAAATGTAATTTATTTACTCACTCTCCCAATTTGACAATATCACCAAATTTACTAGAATACAGAGTTAAAGAACCTTTCCACACATTTGCATATCTGAAAGTAAAATTTAAAAAATAACCCATAAAAAAAGTTAGCAAGTTTAAGTTTCAGCTTAGAATTATTGTAGATTACGTTACTGTCAGTCACCAGCACCAAGTTCATCCATACTAGTCAGTCACCCACCAGCACAAGGTCATCCATGCTAGCTCTGAAATCAAAGCCCATTTTACAAGTAAAAATGGTTGAATGGTCTAAGCCGTGCACTTTAGATCATAAGGTCTGTCATTGAGTCAAGTGGTATAGTTTTGATTCCCCGCTTGTATGTGACAAGGAGAAGGGTCCAACCTCGTGGGTTCTCTGGGTCCTTCAGTATCCTCCCACTGCTAAAGACCCCTATGCGCAAGCAAATTATTGAAATAAAATTGAACCATATGTTCATCCCGAAATGACCTAGGTTTTTTTGAGTGGATGTTCCCACCCCACGCCTCTTTTTTACTTACCCTTTCGTTAATCGACAAATGTCTCCTGTTTGTAATGCTTCACCGAGTTCATCCCACAAGGATATATTAACACAACCAGTTTTATCTGAAACTTTACACGATCTAACTTCATGGCCATCTTTTGTTCTAGTAGGTTTAGCTACAAAATAATCATCAACAATAAATGAAATGTTCTGCATTGAGGAACATTGAAGGTGACTTCACTCAGAAATTGGACTTTTCGGATACCAATTTGATGTTTGAATATTTTGTTTAATTTGCATAGCTTGTTCAAATAAAAGAATAATCAATAATAATTTTTATTTATTCAAGTTAACTTATTTTGGGGAAGGGATTGCTGTTGCTCCTCGATTCACTAACTTCAATTTGCAATTGTTTTTAAATTTATTCAAATCGGTTCTCGTTCTATTTAATTTTATTTCCAAATATAAATGAAACAGCACATGTTCCCCTCCTAATTAATCAAATATCATGATGATACAAACCTACACGATGTTTTTCCTGATAAGCATGGTACCCCATTTATGCTGGCTTAAACCACATGTGGTAAATAGTCTCTGAATAGTCTTGCCAAATAGCCTAAAATTTATTCTTCTAATGAACCAGATAAATGAAATAATATGCTGAGTAAGCTGATATATTGAAACCCGCTAACTGAAGGTGGCCAAAATTTTGGCTACCCCCAGATATTATTAATGTTACAATCTGTGGGTTACATTGAAATCAGTTGATTATTGTGGACTAGAGCCACATGAAATGTGTGGTAACCCCATATCCCAGAAACTGTTAACGGGTGTGGCCGAAGTTTTGTCTATATCCTGAGATATTATTAATGTTATCATAATCTGTAAGTTTCATTGGAATCAGGTGATTATTGCTTTCTGTAGCTGTGCCACATGAAATGTGTGGTTATATATATATATAGCTAGCTGAGACCTCGAAATTTTAGCAACTCTGCAAATATTATTAATGTTATTATAATCTGTGAGTTTCACGAAATCGGTTGATTATTGCGGACTGTAGCCGTGCTACATGAAATAAGTGGTAACCCCATATCTTGGAAACTGCTAACCAGAAGTGGATGAAATTTTGTCTACTCAGAGAGATTTTATCAATGTTATAATAATCTGCAAGTTTCATTGAAATCGGGTAATATTTGCAGTCTGTAGTTGTAAGGCTATTTTGAAATTCTTGTGTACCACATGCGGCAAACAGTCACTGCCTAAATTTTACTGGACACAGCCTAGGGCATTATTCAAATTATTGCCTGGAAAATTAGTTGCCAGATTTTTATTTTTCGTAAAATCAACAAATCACTTATTTAGTGTTTCTGTCTCACATAAAACAAATAATTCGATTTATATATGTTACAGTTGTTGACAGTCCCCTTTAAATCTTTATCACACTGAATAGTGCCCCTTTAAATCTATTGATTTAACGACGCGTTTATCATTGTTGGCAAAAATCCAAAACATATCCTTATAATGAATTCATATATTCATACGCGTTAGGGCAAACGACACAATAAACAGGAAGAAATAAATGATTGTAAATATGAAGATTTTTACCTACCTATTTCTAAGACGATAAACATTATGTTTATATTCTTCAAACCGGGTCTCAGGTCTTTAATATAAGTATACGTCATTTCACCCATCTTGTCTGAATTGGAGAACTATTTCCTATTGTGCACTGTTATCTTCAACGGCTAATACCGTTTACCTCCAATTATGATAAGCTTCGTGGTTTAACATACATGCCTAAAACTGGTTATTACGTTAATCAACATCGCATATTGAGACATTTTAAGAGTTCATTACTGCTTCAGAAGGTGTGTGTAGTTAAATTAGAATGAAATATTTGAAGTCTAAAAATAAAAAAAGTAGTGCATTCCGAACTACTTGTTTTAACTTTTTTTTTGCTACTCTAGTCTAAGATGACCCTTCTCTAATACTAATAGGTTTCGATGGGTTATACACCACTACCCCAGTCTCAGTTTCAGTCTTAATAATGGACAGTTGAGAAATGGGTAAGAATGTATCTATCTTAAAGCCAGAAATAAAGGACTATTTTAGCAATGTACATAATATGTCTGACATCACACATTTGGATTTGTCAAAGTAAGCCCTGATGAATCGCACGCCGACTCGCTTTATATATAAACCGTGAGCTGGGTGTGTTCGATTGATAACGCTTTAGCGATAAGGCGACGAAAACGAATCGGATGGCAGCCAACTCGGCTAAGTCAGACCGCCCATACCCAAGCTGGGTTGCTTAATGGTTCAATTTCGTTCAGTACTGGTACCGGTAGGCCTTGCAAAGATAGGCTATGATGAATTGAAAATTTATCAATATTAGTCATCCTCCGCAGACGATATAAAAGGTAAAACCAAACCAGCGTCACCCATAATTAACTATTAAATTCTTTTGATGGGTATTTACCCCCCCCCCCCCCCAAAAAAAACAAAACAAAACAACAACATTGAATCCGGGTGCGGAACTTATCTAGGGGAGTGCCATCCTAAGATTTCAGGTGCGGGTCCAGGGGCCACCTAGGCCCCCGAAGCTTCTGGGGGTCTATAATAAAATTACTCAGCAATTAAATGTAATTGTATTTCTTTTTGAAGTCCCTTACCATACAAACACAGTCGATGGTTAACTCCAGTGACCCTCTCAACTGGGAGTCTCTTAACCCAGGGATCAGTATAGGAAGTATACAACCGGGAATTCGAAACCACGCCAGTCGACTTTATGATACAGCGCGCGCACGCTAACCATTCAGCCATCCACCCCCCCCCCCCCCCCCCCCCCCCCGTCGATTTGGGAATTAAAATGTCGGCCAACGAGCGGAGCTAGTTGTAGACAGACAGTGTAAGCCCCCCCCCCCCCCACACACACACACACAAACACACACACACACACACAATACGATCTGAGAGGTTTTTTTTTATAACAGGCGAGTCTACGGTTAATATGATATGATCTCAAATAAATAACATTTACTGTCCGAGTGGAGGTGGCAGTTCATCTTTAAAAATATTTCCTCGCATACAGTATATTATGAACACACAGAGCGCAAATCGAACGCTTACAAAAGGCAAATAGAAGCTTTGATTTTCCAGACACTCAGATTTTATACGACCCGGTTAATGGCATCATGCACATGTATCTAGAAAATATATATTGTTACACGCGCGGTGATCTTATAAAATTGTTATGAATCTTAACATATTATAAAACAGTCGTTTATTATTGACAGTACAACGACCTTGTTACAATGTGCCCTCTGCAACCAAAGTTATTCTGTTACTAGCACGGTTACTGGATAACCACGCATTGAGTCCATATCACGCACAGCAGAGCCTTATATGTATGGTTTAATGGTCGAGAGCGAGACATTTAAGTAATCTATTGATAGGCCTACTTCACAAGGCGTTAGCCGAGTGTTGTTTCAATATATTACGTCATGTCTTTAGCTCGAGACCATTAAACAACTTAAAATACAAACACTATTCCGCATGTGCTTTTCAATGAAATACGTCATGCGAGTCCAATATTTCATCTAGTATAGATAATGTACGATTGGCAAGTTGCCCGCACATTATTGGAAATAATGGTATGCCAACATCAAAGGACGGCGTCACATCTGTATTTTAAATAGATATAAGGCTCTGACGCACAGTACAAACACCGTGATATCTCTACACCGTGTAAAGCGCTATTTCTGCTGTAGGTTTTCATTGGCTGTAAGTTACTGATACTATAAATAATCTTTTCCAGTTTACCGTAAAACTTTTTCTAATTCCGCGAATTAACTAAATATTATTTTGCATAATTCAACAACTGTTAGTTTTCATAATAATGAGGTGGTAGGGCCATGTGGATGTATTTGGGAGTACATGCAGCCTATTTAGTAAGTATTGGGCAGTATTGGGTAATTCGTCCTGCCAAGAAAAAATACTACAAAAGCAATTTAAACAGTTTATTTAATAAATAAGCTTTTTATATGATCTGGAACAATTAAACGGCACATATTTCAGTTTCAGAGCTTAAACAATTAAACGGCGTCTATTTCAGTTGCATAGCTTAAACAATTAAACGGCGTCTATTTCAGTTTCATAGCTTAAACAATTAAACGGCGTCTATTTCAGTGTCATAGCTTAAAGTTGGTAAACATTCATCCTTTGTTCGAATGTGAACGAGTGACATTATCGCCGCCAAAAACACCAAAACTGCTGTAATTATCTCAAGGATGAAAGACCAACCAAATATGACGGTTTCTCTCGTAAATTCTTCTCGTTTCTTCTTGTATCTGTTGGTAATAACACCGTACATAACTATAGCAACCAGGGATGAAATAACTGAGAAAAAAAAAATGACGGAGAATTTTAATTGTATCAGTTATAATTTAATGACAGAAATGAATGAAATGGGGTTTAACGTCCTACTGTTCTGTTCCGACTGGACTAATGAAGACGGCCATACAGTGTGCTATGAGGGAAATCTTGCCCGGACAGCGGCGCTATGGCCTACTCTTATATCGAATTCCAACTGCCAAGGGATCTTTTACGTGCACGCCAATGTGTACACGGAACCTCGGTTTTTCGTCACATCCGAACAACTAGACAGCTGTCCTTGTCAGGCCCTCCGTCCTGCACCACTGACAAGGGGAAACCACACCGGGAAATCCCGATGGACTTTCTTGGCCCACACCAGCGTCTCACTCACTTAGCCAAAGTGGCTCCCAAATTAAGGACCGCGTGGTTCTTTTTATTCAGATTCTAGACAGAGGAATCTGAGCACTGGAGCATGGGCTGGATTAGGTAGGCTGTCCTCCGCTGGGCGCGAAAAACATTTTGAATTTCGGCAACCTTAGAGGAGTTTTGGGATGTTAACGCATTGTCACATTGTGCTTTGACCTTTGTGTAACCAGGGCCCTCATAAGCCTATGTGGCGCCGAGGCCAACAGTTTCAGTGCCCCCCCCCCCGCTTGTATACTGTAACTACTTTGTTCAGTACCTACGCACAGTTGACTTTTTATTGTTAAAGATTTTATACTTTTAACAATTTATCTAAATAACTATTTATTAAATCAACTTATATGTAATTTTTTTTATTTCCCCTTCAATCCTCCATTGAATCACAATTCTACCCTCTCTATTTGCTGAAATATGAACTGACAGCTTATGGGGAAGAGAAGGCCGGTGATTTGCTAACTCAGTGACCCAGTCTCTAAGGAGTCCATGAATGTTCCAAGGTGCCCGCTTTAAATATTTCTGGTATGCACTTTGATAATTTGCCGCCCCACCCCAAGAAGTGTCACCCCAGTTACATCCCCCAGGCCCCTCCACCTACACAAGGGTGCTGTTTGATACATATCAATGAATACATCCTACCTGCTAAGAAATTGATGACTGTTGAGAATCGAAGCCAGTTTGTATGAGATAGATTTTCACGGGCCAGAGCTAAAGCTGTAGTCGTTGACACACCACCAACTAATATTAGTAATAAACTAATTAATGCACAACTTTCAACAGCCTTAAAAGCACCTAAAAAAATAATATATTTATTGTTTACTCCCCAAGTCACGGTGCCCAATAAACCATTCCTTATAATGTGACGTCACAGAGTTCACGTCACTGGATTACGCCCATCTCCCCGCTAACCATAGATTGAAAACCATATCCAAATACCTGGAAATAGATCGAGGTGCTTCAGGAGAAATTATTTTGGTAATCTACCTAGCCGTCAATATATCTATCTATCTATCTATCTATCTATTTGTGACTGTCGTTTGTCTGTCTGTCTGTTCGGGGTTGGCGGCTACACTAGGTCTGCCCCGAGTCTGAAATTTGGGGTATAGGGGTAGCTCGGACTGGGGAGTAACATAGGCCAGGTGGCGTTAGTCTACCACTTCCGGTTGCGGAGTTATGACCCCCGAGCGAAGCCGGGTATCCTGCTAGTAATTTGATATTTCACGGCCATTACAAATATCATGCTTTCAGGAGAGACAGAGAGATGGGGTTTAACGTCTACCACTTCCGGTGGGGTAGCTCGGACCGGGGAGTTACATAGGCCAGGTGGCGTTAGTCTACCACTTCCGGTTTCGGAGTTATGACCCCCGAGCGAAGCCGGTCTGTTCGGGGTTGGCGGCTACACTAGGTCTGCCCCGAGTCTGACATTTGGGGTATAGGGGTAGCTCGGACTGGGGAGTAACAGGCCAGGTGGCGTTAGTCTACCACTTCCGGTTTCGGAGTTATGATCCCCGAGCGAAGCCGGTCTGTTCGGGCTTGGCGGCTACACTAGGTCTGCCCCGAGTCTGAAATTTGGGGTATAGGGGTAGCTCGGACCGGGGAGTAACATAGGCCAGGTGGCGTTAGTCTACCACTACCGGTTGCGGAGTTATGACCCCCGAGCGAAGCCGGGTATCCTGCTAGTAATTTGATATTTCACGGCCATTACAAATATCATGCTTTCAGGAGAGACAGAGAGATGGGGTTTAACGTCCACTCGACACAAAGAAGGCCATTTCGAGACTAACCCGGAGGTCGGATGTTCGATCCCTGCATTGGCCGAGAAAGTTCATCCAGATTTTCCGGCGTGGTTCCCCCATTGTCAGTGATGCAGGACGGAGAATCTGGCAAGGACAGCTGTCTAGTCATTCGGATAGGACGAAAAACCGAGGTCCCTTGACAGTTGGAATTCGATAGAAGAGTAGACCGTAGTGCCACTCCGGGCAAAATTTCCATCATAGCACACTGTATGGGTATGCCCGTCTTCATTAGCCCAGATAGGAGCAAAACAGTAGGATGTTAAACCCCATTTTATTTCATTATCTACCTTTATCTATGCAATGTGAAGATGGAAAAGTTTGCCAGAAGATTCTAATTTTTCTCTACTTTTCTTCAAGTTGCAAATGTTAAGGATTCTTTTACGTGAGTGATTTCTCCGCGCCATTGCCAAGTAAAAGAATGTAACATTGTGAATAAAAATAAAGCAAAATGAAGATAGTCATTTCGGGACTAACATGGTTCAAGTTTTATTTCAATAATTCGAATGCGCCGCGTGGGGGTATTTAGCTGTGAGAGGGGGAAATTGACTTAACGACAGACCTTTTGATCTAAAGCGCACGTGTTAGACTATTCGACCACCCAACCCCATAACCCAAAAGGAATAAATATAAACTAACTGTCCATATATTTCTTCGAAATGTCTCTACAAGCAAAGTCCTCCAAAACACGAGTCGAAACAAAACAGGTTTTCCATAGTCCAGAACGAATAACTTCTTGGCCTTGAACAGACACCAAACGCCAATAAGGTGTTGAAAGTCCAATCATATGAATTCCGAAAGCAATAGAACTACACGTTAAACTCAGTAGGATAAAATATGTAACTTTTCCTGGTAGATGCATTCCTATGGCCAGACTTGAAAACTGGTGTGTTTTTGTCGACAGCAAAATGTGTTGAGAACAATTTACATTGTCAATTTGTGAGTAGAAATCATTATGGCGATGAAATGAAATGAGGTTTAACGTCCTACTGTTCTGCCCCGAACTGGGCTAATAAAGAAGAGCATATGCCATACAGTGTGCTATGAGGGAAATTTTGCCCGGACAGCGGCACTACCGCTTCCTCTTATATCGAATTCCAACTGTCAAGGGATCTTGTATTTACGTACACGCCAGAGTGTACACGGGAACTCGGTTTTTCGCTCCATCTGAACGACTAGACGGCTGTCAGCCCCTCATTTGGCGTTTAGTACGACATAGACATTATAACCCAAATATACACCTCGATTCCGGTCCAAAAATCAGGTTTTTCACGATTTTGATAATTATCTCAAGGATTCATTGGGCGTAATTGCCATTTTGAACATGGATGTGTTTTCGTTTTTCACCTGGGTGTGTTGCTGTGTTGCATATGGAATAATGCATCGACTTTTGTGTCCAACGATAGCAGAAGTGATGCACAAGTGACTGTGGCAATGGCGCATGAGTCAACGTCCGATTCATTTCTCGTCTAGCCATAGGGTTTACCTCTGTGACGTCATTATATTTGTCTTACTGGTTTGCTGGGCCTTTGTCTGGGAGGGATTCTGAACGACAGAATTGCAAGCTCCCGCCAATGAATGGATGTCCGATTGTTTTACGGGATTATCTAAGGATGAGAAATCGTGGTAAGAAACAAGTGTAATAGACCATCGCCAACCGGGTTTTGTTTCCGGTAATGTGACGGCCTTAGTAAGTGTCCAAGTTTCATATCAGTTAAGACTTAAATCTTCCTATTGCAGGTCTTTCTTTTGGCTTCAAATGTTACATGAATTAGTATTAATACTCTAGACCAACGGATGACCGATATTTAAAGGCTCAATACCACTCTTGTAACTGAATAATATGTCCCAATCTTTATTCTGGTCAACAAATTGCACTATTTTACAATATTCCAATTAATTGATGATTCAAATTTCATCTTAACACACCTAATTTAAAAAATTGGAAAAATTCAACTAAATGATTTGAAAAGCCTGACGTAAAGCTTTTCAAATGTGACTTGGATTTAAAAATATTTATGAACCCTCTGGACAAGTAAAATAGGATCTAATGGATAATTTACACAACAGATAGGACACTAACACATCTAGTACTTAGAATAAGGCTATTTTTTTATTTTCTGGAGCTGTCAAGCCAGCAAGTGTTATTGTCCCTTTAAATGGATTTAAACATCCCGGACACAAGTACGCACTTCGGTAACACAAGGCAAAGACCAAAAGCCTCGACAAAAAAGATCACAAAAGAGCTTTCGATCTCAGCGTACCTAAATTGATGCAGGGGCGGGGGATTTTGTGTGATGCATTTCTATCAGGACAGTATAAGGATACATAACTTTAACTTTCCAGGGCCCTTATTCACGAAAACTTAAACTAAGTTACAACCGAAATTTTAAGGAATACTGCAACTTCATTGGATATATGCAGATTGATTTTACTGGTCAGCCAATCGAATTGCAGTATTTCTTAAAATTTCGATTGTATCTTAGTTTAATTTTTCGTGAATAAGGGCCCAGGAAGTTGAAGTATATTTGGTGTGTGTTGTTTTATGTTGTGTAGGGAGTGAAAGGGGTAAAACGCAGGGAACACCCCGGTTGGCACACAAGAGGTTTAACATCCTACTGTTCAGCTGCGAGTGGGCTAATGAGGACGGACAATCGCCATACAGTGTGCTATGAGGGAAATTTGATCGTTCAGCGGAACTTGGGCATACTCTTATATCGAATTTCAACTGCCAAGGGTTCTTTTACATTTATATGGGACCTCGGTGTTTCATCCCATCCCATCCATCCTGCATCACTGACAAGGGGGAGCCACGCCAAAAATTCCGATGTACACTATCGATCAAGCCAGGGTTTTGAACACGGTGAACTTAACCACTGTGGCTCTCATGTGTGATATGAGATGGACAAGACCTGTGATTGACAAATAAAGACAACAAACAAATACTATGCAAAGAACTTTATTCATTTAAATGTTCCCTTTATATGTTTAGAAACAAACTTCACACACGAATTACTTGATTATTGCCCACCATTTGTTGGAGTCCATCTTTAACTCGGATATGTATGAGCGCCATTATGGAAGCCAAGAACATAAATATGGCTGTGGCAATTTCTAGCTTTAATGAAAATCCCGTATCAATTGTAGTTGTACTATCTTGGTCTACATATTTGCTATCTCTGAAGTAGTTTGTTTTCACCCAGAATATAACTGCTGATGCCAGTGATGATATAACTATAATAGATAACAAATTGAACAAAATTAAATTATGTTTTAAAGTCGGATCAATTATAATCTGATTAAAACACAGAGCATATTTCGTTTCGTTTGTTTATAGTTCAAAATTTTGTTTTTACTTGTCTTATGTCCGGTCTAAATATTAAGGATTAGGCCTAGTCCTGTTTACATCTCGTGACCTTTGACCAAATCTGCAGGGAAATCTTGCCTGGACAACGCCGCTATGGCCTACTCTTATTTCGAATTCAAACTGTCAAGGGTCCATCTATAAATGGTTCGTTTAAGTCCACGCCAATGTGTACACGGAACCTCGAGTTTTCCTCCCATTCGAACGACTAACACTGTCCCTTGTCAGGCCCTCCGTCCTGCACCAGTGAGTGACGAGGGCAACCGCGCCGAGATTGAACACGGGACCTTCGGGATTATCGAGCTAACGTCTTACTAAGCCATCGCGGCTCCTATCTGTAAATAGGAAAGACCCATGTTTAAAGGATTTAAATCGCTAATATTTGGGACGTAGAAATTGACACAAATAGGTCGCAACCCATATAATAATGTAATACTAATATTAATGTATATATAAAAATGGTTTAGATTCGATCGTTTCCGTGTTTACTCTAATTTCAAATCAGTTATGTTCGGCGAAATACCCAGAAGTCTCAATCGAATGGCAATCTCTGGCGTGTGGTTTAGTCTACACCGATAGCATCTATTGCGCATGCTTTCCAGATGAGAATGTGGCATCAAGTTTGGCATGACCTGTGGAATATGTCTAGCCTCGTTTTTCGAGTCCCTTGTTACAAATGGCACTGAAACTTATTCTGGTACACGATTCGTGTACCCATGGTAAAATGTTTATTTTGTCTTAAATATTGGATATCAGAAGCCCGCCTTTTCCCGGTAAGATCACAACATCAGTGTTGATTTAAATTGACAAATAATTCGCGTTTTCAATGTTGAAGGCTTTGGACGATATTGAGTTGGAGACTTCGCTACTTTAATTTGGGAATTGTTTCCCTTTAAATGAAAACCTATAATGGTCACCTGCGAAGAAATTGACCACAGATGAGAATCGCAGTAAATTGGTGTGATTTAGATTTTCACGCGCCATTGCTAATGCTGCTACTGTAGCCACACCTCCAACCAATATAAACAGCAGGCTCGCCAATACACTTCCTTGAACAGCACGAAGCGTTGCTGAAACACAAAATTAAGACACTGTCATTTACTTAAAGATACATTTCCACGAAAATATTTATAGGGTAGTTATTTCCAATAAAACTATGGCATATTTGGTATATATGGGAAGTAGAGACACCCAATCGATCTAGAAAAAATATTGGAGTTCGTAGAAAACATCCATGAGGCGCGCACAGGAGAAAGTAGGGGGCGTTTGGTTTTGGTGTTCGAATTGCTAGAGATTGTGAAAATAGCAGGATACTTAAATAGTAAGTGCATCGGGGACAACGCCACACACAAACAATTATCCAAGATAGAAATACGGTCAAAACACAATATACTGACACCACAATTAATAACAAACGGATCTATCAGATCAAGTGCTGCAGACTTTGTGATTAAATGGGGGATAATCCAAAAAATTACTTCGGATTCGATATTTATGGTAAACGGACAGCTATTAACGACAAATTGTAGAAGCTCATCAAGTCACGTGAGAAACAAGGATGCTGGCAGTTTTCTTCGGATTCAAATGTTTGGAGAAGGAATTGAAGCAAACTTTTTATAGATAAAGTAATTTTTAGTCCAAGTACATGTATATCATCAAATCCGACAGTTTGTAGGAAGTGGGGAGGCATCTTTAATTTGAAAAGAAATGAAATGGGGTGTATATCGCCCTGAAACCGGACCCTGGTTACTTTACATCTATCAAAAAATTGTCAGAAGCGTCCAAGCCATAAATTGGCGCAGTGACGGGTATCGTGTGAAATGCAGGATATACCGATTTGTTTTTGTCACTGTCCTGCCGAATCCTTGTGAACGTCGTGCACAGTAGACATACTCTCTGTCAGAGAACGTAAAAGCAATAAGTTAGTAGCCTACAACTGCCAATTGCGCGAGTGGCGACCATGATGATCATATGTCCCATGTCTAAACGAAAAGGAAATGGCATTATTGTGATGGAGCAGGCCACTGTTGTTAAACATATTTTATATATTAAATACTTACTACCAGTAAGTTCCTCGGGAACATCTTCACAGTAATATTTAGTCCACTTAGTAGTTCTCTTACAAACTTTCCATAATCCAGTCCAAGCTTGTGTTTCCCCACCCTTTTTTGAAATTAGCCAAAATGGTGTACACACAGCAACCAGGTGCATTATAAAACCAATCGCACTTACTGCCAAACATAGCAGTATGAAAACAGTGACTTTACCAGGTAGATGCAGCATTACGTTAGAGAAAGTTGATCAAGCCTCCGACAATGCTGGAGATTTTTCTCAGGTGAGCTCCGTGTTGTGTAAACTCATTACGTCATAGGGTCATGACCCCGTACACACTGTTTCTTCGATCATCCACAACGCCCTTCTGAACACCTCGTTTAAAGAAACAGAAATTGGGTTTAAATCACTTGTGGTTTCGGGTGAAATTATGTAATGAACAAAGTCGGTTATTGAAAAGATATGGAGCCATCTACGGGCCAACAAACTAACTGAATGAACAAAAAGTGAAGCAAAAACTAAATAAGAAAGCGAAGAAAAAGATAATAAAAAAACATATATTTTAATTATTTAATAAACTAAATTAAATTCATTCATGTTTATTAATTTAATTTATTCTTGTAAATTGTTGATGTAACAATTTTTTGTGTAATATATATTTATTTAAATTTTAATTTAATAAATAAAAAACAATAAATTGATCATTTTATTGGTCCGTGCGAGTATTGAAACAAACACTACTATATAGAGCGGGAGCCCAGGGGGTTAACCTAGCTGAAAAGTGTACCAATTTTCTCCTATATCAATGCATGTATATCTGGTATCATAAAAATGCAAGCCTGTCAGTTTATCGCCTCTTCCATATGTGCTAGGTATTAGTATTCTACGCATCCTGGCTAAAATTTTAATTTTTTAAAACACGGGAACAGTGCCCGTTAATCTAGCCAAGTTGGGGGCGTGGCATTTTTGGGCGTGTCTGTTAGGGGTTACCCACCGCACAAATTGTCTGGCAGTGGTCATTCATGATTCCCGTCGTGGTACTGAACAACTCCAAAGCTGTTTTAGGTGGTACAGATTTCAGCTAATCTAGCCTAGCTGTGGTCAGGAAAATAGATAGGCCCAACTCTTGTCAGGGATACTCCACCACTACAAATGTCTTGCAATTACATACCTCTGTCAGGGGTAGGCCTAACCCACCACTAGAAATGTCTGCCAGAGTGTTTTTGTAATATCTTAAGATGTACGGTACACTGCTGTACGATTTTCATGTGGTACACTTTTGAGCTAATCTAGCCTAGTTGGGGGCATCGCATTTTGGGCGTGGAATACCACACCCACCACCAGAAACCCGACAGACTTACATTCTGATGATACCAGATATACATGCATTGATACCATATAGGAGAAAATTGGTACACTTTTCAGCTAGGTAGACCCACTGGACTCCTGGTCTAATAGTGGGTGGTCTTGGAAACTTGGGATGAGTTGTCTTCTATTGGGCCGAGTGGTCTTGAGATAATTTGGCTTGGGGATGAGTTGTCATACATTAATGTATTAGGTATTGTTGTGATCTATGCTGTACCCGGGCGAAAATAAAACAAAACCACAGATATTCTAATTGATTTATTTTCCGCAAAACGTCGTGGTTTAATTTTTAGATGGAGGTTGACCACTATAATAAACCGAACTTTTTGTTTGAACAGTCATGGATATTTCTATTTTTGTAGACATCAAATTTTTGTATTTCAGTGAAGATTATTGGCTGATCCTTTCCTCCGTATTCAGAGTAATCATTGGAAGTTATGAACTCAAGATAACAAAGTTGGGATTTTCCTTCCGGAAATTACACGTCCACCCCCCGCCGTCAATGTGAATGGTATTAAACCACCCACCATAAACCATATAGCATTATGCAATACAATTTTATGCGAAAAGCCTATTACATCAGTAATAGCAGTAGGCCTATTGGCCGAATAAGTATTATCAGGGAAATGCCCAGTTGCATAAACTGTATTGATCCCTGATAAAACTGTCTTCTATGTGTGATCTACTTTTATTTAACTGAAGTAGATTTCCGATGACAGGTAGGTTCGAGCACATGGCTAGTGTGAATTAGGACAAGCCCACTTTGAGAACGGGGGAACAAAGAATAAATCTTATCTGCTTACAGCAATAGATATAAAAATGTATTGTCACCAACGATAAAAAAAAATATATATATTGCATTAAATTGATATAATAATACGACTTGAAGGGCCATGCTAATCATTTAGAAAACAATTAAGCATAACGTCTAACTCGTTCTCCCCATGTAATAGAACGCGCACCTGCTGTGACGTCATGACACCCAGCAACGATAAACAACATGGCGGATGTGAGCGCTCCAAATGAAAACAAAGTTTGTCAGGAGAAAGTTTTTTGAGTCGTTTTGTTGGTTAACAGATTTATAATAATATTCAATATTATAAAAATATTTTACCGTATTTGAATATTGTTGTCAACTATGTGATTACTTACTGTTCTCTGTTATTATTGTGTTTGTACGAGCGCCATGTAAATGTTTATGTAATGAAGTTTTATTTCGCCTTTCTTGCAAGAAGAATGGCCAGCATAAGTAATAGACTTTTAACTGGTGTAACTAACTGACAAAGTTATTATATAGAGAGAGATCAGAAAGTACCATTAATTCGTAATTGTTAAAATGGTTGGTGGAGGAACTGCATTAAACCTTTCGCTGTTAAGTCGAGGTATTGGAGAAATACAACAGAATGGTCATGAAAGGGTTGAAGTGTTTTTAGAGCCGGAGGTATGATAATATAATAGATATTGATGAAATGTTATTTGACGATATAAAATTCATTTCCGTTACAAATACATATCGTTTCATTCATTTTGTTTAATATAGATGCAGAACCATTAATCATTCAACAGAGTGGTGATTGAATGTAAATAAATATATAGTTTCCCTTGTTTACAATAAATAACATAGGCCTACAGACTAATTATTATATACAAATCAGGAAAACTGCACAACAAAACATTGACAAAACAAATTATATATACAAGAACATAGCCCAACAAGCCATAGGCATAACAAATTTTGAAAGAACATAACCCAACAATTAGACACAGGCAAAACCAATTTGCTCCTTGCATAAATATATAGCAATAAGTGATTCATATTTTTGAAGAAGATATGCAATTATATAACAACAGAAAACCATTGAGGTGGGTTCCTTGTTGGCATATGGTAGAACTAGCATTAATAAAAAGGGAACCAATGTAAAATAACATTAATCTAAACTAGCATGATATCCAGCCTTGCTGAGGCCCAAATTCCCCAATTCTCCAGGGGCGCAAATTTGTACGGGGCCCAAATTCTCCCCATGCCCAAATTTGATACCACATATGTGGGGGTGGAGTGCAGGGACAAAGCATAATTCCCAGGCCCAAATTTGATGCCCTAAAACATTTACGGGGTCATGCTGGTTAATTTGATACCATATAATATGGGGGTGGAGTGTAGCGACGAAGCGTGATGGGCGAACATACATACGTACTGGCCGTAACAGATCGTTTTATTGGCTAATCCCTCACATCATCCAGAATGTGGTTTATACAACAACTCTTCCAGATCCTAGTGTAGTAAAGACAAGTAAAACGAAATTTTGAACTACAAAAAACGAAATGAAATAGAACCTGTGTTTTAATCAGATTGGTATTTTACTGGTAGATATGAAAAAAAATGGTTAAAATTGGCGTAAAATATATTTTTAACATGAAAGGTAAAAGTTTAAATTTAACAAATATAACAAAATAAGTTTTCCAATTATTTCTTTAGCCTGTTTGGACATTTTTGAACATATATTGTTACTGTATTGTAAACTTGTGACTTCTGACTCATTTTGCTATCACTTATAATTTGTTTAGGCCATTTCTGATTTAATTGATATTAAAGGGGCATCATGGGAGATTAGATCAAGAGTTGACAGCTCTCACTATACCAGTTAAAAAATAGATAGCATAAAGAGAATATGTTAAAAATTTCAGTCAAATTGCTTCACTCCGAACCGAGATATTAGCGATTAAATTTTAGGTCTTGCCTTGATCATCATTACTAAAGTCGGTACGATAAAAAACAAAGTCTCTCGATTATCGATTTTGACGTTAAATCATCCATCACAAACTGTATTCAAATCCAGTAAACATCGCAGGCTACAATGACATCAAGAGTTTATTATGGTCTAGATAAGTTATTACATGTCTAATTGATAATTTATATAACATTTTAGAACTAACGAAAGACCTGTATAGGCAGATTTAGCTCTTGCATAATGTATGTTTAAATCATCCATCACAAAATGTATTCAAATCCTGTAAACATTTCATGGAGGGTTGATTATAGTCTGGATAAGATGTCTAATTGATAATTTGTATAACATTTTAGGCCTAAAGAAAGACCTGCAAAAGGCAGATTTAGCTCTTGCATAATGTATGTTTAACTAAAGACACCTTTTAGTTTATGTTTATATGATAAGATTCATGCTATGATTATAGTTGGATATAAGTAGTAGACATCAATAGTTTATAGTAACATTGCATGTTTAGATCTTATTACGTTGGTTAAGAGGTCTCTTAACCTGATGTAAACTAATAAATATTTGATAAGAATGAGTCTAGAGTTGTAATTGTTGTATCTAATGACATATCAGTTAGTATTAATGTAAAGTCTACAGCCATTATAATGTCTGTTAGTACAACCTGTATTACTGGAGCTAAACCTCTTAACTCAACCTCTTAACTCAATGGGGGGTTGGATGGCCGAATGGTTAGCACGCGCACGCTGTATCATACGGTCTGTCATTGAGTCAACTGGCGGGGCTTTGATTCCCCGGTTGTACGTGACAAGGAGTAGGGTCGCCTGTCCAACCTCGTGGGTTTTCTCCGGGTACTCCAGTTTCCTCCCACTGCTAAAGACCCCTACGCGCAAGCGAATTATTGAAATAAAAAAATTAAAAACCATATGTTAGTCCCGAAATGACCTAGTTTGTGTCGAGTGGACGTTAAACCCCATTTCTCTCTCTCTCTCTTAACTCAATATTTTCCATACTACTCTAAATTAAAAACATGAATTAGAATTCAATCTTGGTCAATTTCAATAAATATTGATGTTATCTTGCCCTGAAAATATGGCATCCTAATATTCAATATTTAACACTCGCTAGCCTGGAGGTCGGGTGTTCGATCCATGCATTGGCCGAGAAAGTTCATCCAGTTTTCCGGCGTGGTTCTCCCTTGTCAGTGATGCAGGACGGAGGGCCTGACAAGGAAAGCTGTCTAGTCGTTCGGATGGGACGAAAAACCGAGGTCCTGTGTACTCATTGGCGTGCACGTAAAAGATCCCTTGGCAGTTGGAATTCAATATAAGAGTAGGCCGTAGTGCCGCTGTCCGGGCAAAATTTCCCTCATAGCACACTGTATGGCGTATGCCCGTCTTCATTAGCCCAGGTTAGGAGCAGAACAGTAGGACGTTAAACCCCATTTCATTTCATTTCATTTCAATATTTAAGAACATTTTATAATCAGTACTTTATGTATTCTATATATGAATAGTGTAACAATGCTTGTAGAATAATGATTCATGATAATGTAGCATGAAATCTGTTCTCTTTTGGCGCTTTGAGTATGCATACATGTATGGAATTTTGCGCATTATAAATATACACTATTATTATTATTATTTTACAGGACTATTTTAATTTTGTGAAGGATCCAAAGAGAATTTATCTTCCACCAATTCAAACAAGATGTCCCTTTATACCATCCCCTTCAACAGCATCGGCCAGAGAATCAAAAAAGATAGATTTACCCAAAACCTTTACAACCAGACGTGGAGCATTGTTATTGTTCTCAGAAGATTTGGCGCTTCGAAATCGTGATCGTGCACACAAACATCATGTCACACCGTTATCACAAAGTGTTAATGCAACCAAAGGGCTGAATATTAAAACAGTTGATGATCTAGCCAAGTCAATTTTATCTTATGGAAAAGAGGTAAACTATAAAAATAATAATAATATAGTAGAATCTGTATGAGCAGCCACTCCTATTCAGCGACATCTCCTTGTAAGCGGTCACAATAAATCCCCCCCATAAAAAATCTGTTGTTTCATCTCTTTATTCAATGGTCACTCCTCTAACGCGGCCAGCGGTCACTATTTTACTAATAAATTTAAAAAAACATCGCCCATTCAACGGCCATTGTTGAATGATACCATCTTGTCGTTCTTTGTAACACCCCCGCTAATCCCATGAGTAGTAGTTAATTAACTGGACCCCAACTGATCAGGTAAAAAGAAATGTAAAAATTAAAAACAATCAACCCGGGATTATCTGTTAATTAATCTTTTGTTTTATTAAACAACTAGCCTGATCATTGTTTTCACGCGTAACGACACATTATTTGATACTGATTGAATAAAATAAAAGTACCGAGTTTTGTCACGATCATCTAGTATCTCTTTTCCATTGCCACTTTGTTGTTAAACAGACGTTTTAGCGCCTCCTATAATATTACATACAGAGTTACACCTCCTGTAAATAGTTGATAAAATCAGCGATGGTTTTTTGTTCATGTGCTTTTTTGATAAAATAAAATTAATTCATCAATTTTCTTCACAAAAATGGATAAATATTATCGAATGCATCACAATGGTAGACAGTAGTATCGAAGGTTGTTAAAAAATGACAAGTTTACAGAAGTTATGTCCAAATAGATTTGAGTAAAGAATTTTCATTCTGCGCAAGATTCAGCGACGGTCAAATTTACCGATGCAAGTATTGATGTTCGCTTCCAATGCATCCAAGCGTTATATATTAAATTTATGTCAGCACATAAAGCACCAAGATTTTATTAAGAGGCCACTCCCGTTAAGCGGTCAGTTGTGAAAATTCCCTTGGGTGGCTGCTTAATGGAGAGTCTACTGAGTGTTTGGCAAGTGTGGTATATAGCATGCTGTGTAGATCATATCGTGTGTTATCTTTGGCAGGGCTGAATATTAAAACAGTTGATGATCTAGCCAAGTCAAGTTTATCCTATGAATAAGAGATAAACTGTCAAAATAATAATATTAGGTATATTCTGAAAGAGTATATAGCATGCTGTGTAGATCATACCGTCTGTCATCTCAGACAGTCAGGGGGTTGGATGGCATGCGCTTTACATGATAAGGTGTGTCATTCGGTCAACTGCTTGGTCGATTCTCCTGTCAAACTTTGTAGGTTTTCATGGGGTCCTTCCATTTCCTCCCTCTACTAAAGACGCCCACGCACTAGAAAATTATTGAATTAAATTTTTTAAATTGAATCATATGTTAGTCCTGAAATAACCTTGTTTGTGTCAAGTGCATGTTAGACCCTATCGATGTCCCTCTTTGTCAGTCATGAGTATTTTGCGATGCTTGGATTTCTTTTGGTTCTCTGGTTTGCATTGCTATCCATTATCCTGGTTGTACGTGACAAGGAGTAGGTTCGCCGGTTCAACCATCGTGGGTTTTCTCTGGGTCCTCCGGTTTCCTCCCACTGCTAAAGACCCCGACGCGCAAGAGAATTATTGAAATGAAATTAAACCATATTATTATGTTAGTCACAAAATGACCTAGTTTGTGTGGAGTGGAGGTTAAACCCCATTTCTCTCTCTCTCTCTCTCTTGACATCTATTTCTCTCTCTCTCTCTCTCTCTCTTGACATCCATTAACTTTAGGAAGAATTGACCAGAATCATATTAACAGGAATCTATGAGAATTTCGTAGCTCGAAAAATTTATATTGTAGAGAACTAAAGGTTGAGTTTCCTTTTTAAATAACTGGAGCACATGTATGATTACTGAAATATTGAGACTAATGTTTTGAAACTTAGAGAATCAAGAATGATTCAGGCACCGAGTTCACAATTTGATAAATTAAAACAACAAAAGTTTTATATAGGGATATATTTTAATTAAAATAAGGCGAACAATTTTGAGTAAATTCGTAACTCTAGTCAGAGAATGCTTTGGGTCTGTGTGATTCTTCGCAGTAATCTGATTTTGATTTTCTAGACATCAAATTCTATCTGATTTCATGGATGCATTACCATCACCAGGTAACCTTGAGCTTTGCATTTTGCACATTGTGTTGTGTTTTCAGACAGTCTGTATATTATGTCACTTTTTTTACAGCAAGTGAATGAAAGTAATGATGTATATCTTGGTTTTATTCACAATCGCCGAAAATTTCACAACGAACGCCAGATACGACCTGGATTTTCTGCCAAGCGATATCTATCAACATGGACGAGGATATGGGATGATACTTTACTAGAAAATGTTATCAGTAAAGGTGAGCTAACAATAGATCTCTCAGTCTTTAAAGGGGCATTATGGGAGATTAGATAAAGAGCTGGCAATTCTCACTATGATAGTTAAAAGCTAGATAATGTAAAGGGAATATAATGAAATTTTCAGTCAAATTGCTCCACTCTGAACCAAGATATTAGCGATTGAATTTTAGACCTAGCCTCATTACTAAAGTTTGTATGATAAAAAAAAAACGTAGTTGATGTCCTGACATAATTTTCATCATAGCTTGTGCGTGCCCGTCTTCATTAGCCCAATCTGAGGAAAAGTAGGATGTTAAACCCCATTTCATTTTTTTTTTTCGATGAAGATGGTTTCTCTTTTAGAATGAGATCCCAAGGGGACACAAAAACCCAACATTTAAATCATTTACAGGGCTATGGGGTCTCTCCCTCTTTCAAGTCATAATAGATAAATTCTACACAGCTTTATTGTGATTCTGGCTTAAAAAATACTTCTTAGTCCATTTAATCAACATCCAAGAAAATGAGCCCAAGTGACTAAAGTGTACTTCATTATCTACACTATTTCAAGACATTAGCTAAATCTTTAAAGAATTGGGGTCACGGTGGCTAAGTGGGTAAGATGCTGGCTCGCTTGCCTGGAGGTAGGGTGTTCGATCCCTGCATTGGCCGAGAAAGTTCGTCCAGCGTGGTTCCCCCTTGTCAATGATGCAGAATGGAGGGCCTGACAAGGACAGCTGTCTAGTCGTTCGGATGGTACAAAAAAACGAGGTTCCGTGTACACATTGGCGTGCATGTAAAAGATCCCATCTGAATGATTTTTGGTTTTTCAGGATATATTACAGAGCGGTCATTATTTTATGGGAGTATGGCGGCACCACATTTGCGAAGAAGAATATTTCATGATGATTTGTCCCATTATCCAGCGCCTTATAGATTAATGAGAAATATGTTGATATCACCTGGTAGTCTGTCTGGATATACTTTCTACAGGATGCAAATACAGCAACTAGATCTTCGTAAGTTTTATATCATTTACTCTAGGGTAGGGTGGTGGGGGAGTGGTCTAACTCAAACGCTTTAGATCATAAGGTCTGTCATAGCATTTGGGGGTTGGGTGGGGGAGTGGTCTAATTTAGTGAGGGAGTGGTCTAACTCATGCGCTTTAAATTATTTACTCTAGGGTAGGGTGGTGAGGGAGTGGTCTAACTCAAACGCTTTAGATCATAAGGTCTGTCATAGCATTTGGGGGTTGGGTGGGGGAGTGGTCTAATTCAGTGAGGGAGTGGTCTAACTCATGCGCTTTAAATCATTTACTCTAGGGTAGGGTGGTGGGGGAGTGGTCAAACTCGTGCGCTTTAGATCATTAGGTCTGTCATAGCATGTGGGGGTTGGGTGGGTGGATTGTTTATTTCAGTGAGGGAGTGGTCTAACTCATACATTTTAGATCATAAGGTTTGCCTTAGCATGTGGGGGTTGGGTGGGTGATTGGTTTAATGCAGTGGGGGAGTGGTCTAACTCATGCACTTTACATTGTAAGGTCTGCCATTGAGTCCAACTTAAGTCCCAAGTTGCTACACCTTGAGTCCAAGTTAAGTCCCAAGTCGCTACACCTTGAGTTCCCACCTCTGCCAAAAGTCTGATTCTGGTTAGAGGGGTTGGATGGACGAATGGCGTGGTTTCGATTCCCCGATTGTATGTGACCAGGAGTAGGGTCGCCTGGGTTTTCTCCAGGTCCACCGTTTTTCTCCTACTGCTAAAGACCCCTATAGAATTATTGAAATAAAATTGAACCATGTGTTAGTCCTGAAATGACCTAGTTAAACCCCATATCTCGCTTTCTCTGATTCTTGTTAGATTATTAGAGCTCTAGCTGTTGCCGTTGAAAAGGAAATATGTCTATTCAGTATAGAGATTAATATACACATAAATGGAATTCAAATAAGACTACCGTAAATGGAAATTCTGTTTTCTGGGTCAAAATTTCCCTCATAGCACACTGTATGTATTATATGGGTCATTAACCCTTTTAGTGTAGATTGTACGACATTTAGTTTCAAAATGACCTAATCATATCCTATAATTACACAAACAATGTATTTTATAAATATAAATGAGCTTGAGCAACGGGTTAATAATTGTAATGTTTAAATTTTAGTGGAAGATGAAGATGATTATAGTTCAGAAGACGATTTACAACGAAATACAAAACCGTCCATTACCGTAGTTAAAACCAAAGATGGCGTCCAACGTGAAGTTAGTTATGCTAGTTTAGATAGACAAAGTCAGAAAGAGGTTCTTACTGATCTATTGGTTAAAAGTGCTGTTAATTTTGCTCTTCAAAAACAACATGTAAGTACAAAATTCTGCTTGAAGATGCACGGTTCCTTTAACCAGTTAAATAAATGACATAAACTTAAAGATACATTATGGGAGATTAGTAAACGAGTTGGCAATTCTCACTATAATAGTTAAATACTAGATAATGTAAAGGCAATTTGCTATAAATTTCAGTCAAATTGATCCACTATGAACCAAGATTTTAGCGATTGAATATTGGGGCTAGCCTCAATCATCATTACTAAAGTCGGTAGGATAAAAAACATCGTCTCGATTATCCATTTTTTTATTTAATTATGAATGGAAGTCGAACAGCAAATCAGAACGTAATCCAATAAACATCACAGGCTAGCGATGCCATCGAGAGTTGAAGAAATGTGAATTTGAGCCGCTATCTTGGATCTTTGTGAAGCAACCGACGGAAAGATACATCACATGACATTCAAAATGGCCGACGTATGGCTGGCGAGTTTTCCCAGTGATAAACAAAGGGTAAATTTATCTCTGGGACCCGAGATTGACATAACACGTTTTTAAGTTAAAACTTGTTGGTGATGGATTGACAGATTTGTCACAGATTATGTATGATTTATTTGGAACACCCAAAATGGAACTTTATGGTAAAATACCAACATATCAAAAATTAAATTGTCATCAATCTGTGAAGATGTCCAAAGCCATATCAAGCCTGATTCCATGTTGTCAAGTGGGGGTTGGGTAGCTGTATGGTCTAACGTGTGTGCTTGTGATCATATAATCTGTCATCGAGTCATGTAACATGGTTTAGATTCCGAGCTTGAACTTGACATGTGTAGGGTCGCGTGTGCAACCTTGTGGGTTTTCTCCTGGTTCTCCAGTTTTCTCCCATTGTTAATGACCCCTAGGTGCGATTTTATTCCCCTAATTCGCTTGCTATGGGAGGAAACAGGAGGACTTGGAGAAAACCAATGAGGTTGGTTGCACGGCCTTGTCACATACAAGTGTCGGCTCGAATGTGCAGTACTTGACTCAATCACAGACCTGATGATCTAAAGCTCACATGTTAGATCATTCGTCCACCCAAACCTCCTCTGTTTAAATGTACTGTTGAACATCAAGATGATGCTGTCCGATTATATTTTTATAGGAATTTGTAGAGAATATGAAAAACCCCTCACCAGAGAATATCCAAGAAAATGATCAAATGGAAGCTTTTGATATGAAAGAAGCAGTGGAGGTAAGGTATTTTAAATGTTTTTCTTTATTTAAAGGGGAAGTTAACCTTTAAGTGCCATGTTCGCTTCAGCAGGATTTTTCGGCGTGGTTCCCCCATGTCAGTGGTGCAGGACAGAGGGCCTGACATAGATGTTTGGATGGGACGAAAAACCAAGGTCCCATGTACACATTGCGGGCATGTAAAGGATTTCTTGGCAGTTGGAATTGTAATAAAAAGAAGGCCGTAGCACTGCTGTCCGGGCAAAATTTCCCTCATAGCACACTGTATGGCGTAAGCCTGTCTTTTTTAGCTCAGTTGGAGCAGAACAGGATGACCTTCAGGGTTCAAGGCACACCAATGTGTACAAGGGACCTTGTTTTTGGTCCCATCAGAACGTTTAGATGCTATCAAGAGAAACTATGCTGGAAAATCCTGGGAAACTTTATCGGCCAATAACGAACCCTGGACCTCCTGGTCAGTGAACCACTGCAGCTCCATTTAAAGATCACTGGAAAAGCTTCATAAGTTTTTTAAATAATGCAAGTAATTATGTCAACATATCCTTTCCATAAGTATAACACGGTCCCGAATGTCAATGTTATCTGTCACAGGTAAATTTCAACAGGTAGATTTCCTCCATTCTCCGTGAGTAACTTTCCGCCAATAAACAAGCTGTTACGTCATTTTAGATCTTCTGTTCATATTCTAATCTGTATTTCTATGAGCAGAAGGACTAAAATGACGTCACAGCTTTTTTATTGGTGGAAAGTTACTCACGGAGAACGATTGAAATCGCTAACGTGGAAATATACCTGTGGCAGGTAACATTGACATTCGGGATCATGTTATACTTAAGTAAAGGATATGTTGACATAATTACTTGCATTATTTAAAAAAATTATAAAGCTTTTCCTGTGATCTTTAAGAGAATGACATATGATACTGTTATAGATAATAGACAATTTGTATTAGGTATTCTAGAAAGTAAGTATATTCTGCACCAGACATGACACCTGTATGTGCCAGTACGTGAATTAAATATAGAAAATATCGAGGTGCATCAATTTTTCTTTATTATTCAAAATATAAAAGAAACATAATAATAGCAATACAGTGTTTTATTCTTCAAATAAAGAGTATTCCATATGATTGCACGTGTCATCGATCCCCTGTCCATAATTCTAGAAGACCAATTTTCCTTTTTTTCCAATCCCAGGAAAGCTTTATCAGCACCCCACTGTTTTTTAGACGTCAGTTCATGAAGGCCCGCTGTATGGTTTGCCTGTTTGTGTAATTAAAATCTCGACTTTTCACGCATATCTCAAAAGTAAAAAACTGTACTGTTCTTATTATGCAATAAAAGTATAAAAATACCTGCATGAAGTATAGATTGACTTGTACCAAAAACAGTGCAGATTATTACTTTATTTGACATAGAGAGGCAGTAAACTACAGTAAACTGTAAATGCTCAAAAGTGAAATTGAATCAATCTGGGTTTTTTTTATGGTTGTAAACTCCATATTTAACCATAATTCTGGTATGTTAATGCTTTATGTTAAATGGAGGTTGGGTGGTCAAATGGTTTAACATGGTTTGGTCATTGAGTCAAGTGGCCTGGATGTTATTCCCAGTTTGTGACAAAGAGTACGGTTGCCTGTCCATCCTCGTCGGTCCTCTGGTTGCCTCCCACCGACCCCTATGCACAAGCGAATTAATGAAATAAAATTGTATCATATGTTACTCCCCAAATGACCTAGTTTGTGTCAAAAAGACTTTAAACCCCATTTCTCTCTCTCTATTTATGTTAAATATTGGAATATCCTCTTATTTACTGATAAATAAAGTTCTTAGCTGAAACTATGACCGTCAAAATAAAAGCCCTGCATGTAATATCGATTAAAACTCTGCTGTTCCCGGTAACCTTTTCTGTGTACGAGAAAATTGTTGAGCAAACAACAATGAGCATAATGGCCTGTGATAAATTATATTTACCAACAGTCACTCGGTTTAATCATGTAATAATAAGTGTTATTTAATGTCTGGTCTTCAGTGAAACCTAGTGATATTCAACTGATTGTAGTCACAATACCTTCAATTCTTCTGTCTAGTTGTAGATCCATAAATCAATAATGCTATCGATTTGTATTCAACCACTTGAATAGATTCCATAATCCTCTATTTATTATTGATAAAATGATTACTAATATGGAATTGAGCAATTGTTTTTGTTCAATTATAAATTTTTTACAATTCAAGTTATTTTGAATTATGGTGATATTTTTTTTTTGTGAATTAGGACGTATGATTTAAGTTTTGATGTTTTTCTGGCGTTTTGCTTTTTTTACATTATTATTTCATTAAACATACATTATGCAAGAGCTAAATCTGCCTATTGCAGGTCTTTCTTTAGGCCTGAAATGTTATATAAACTATTAACTAGACATTTATTAACAAAACAAGACCATAATCAACTCTTGATGGCATCAAATACTTAAGATTTTAACTAGATTAGAACGGTTCCCCATTTAAAAAATGAATTTGAAAATTGGAAAGTGAGGCTAAGTCTTGAATATACCAGTGCCCTGGTAACCACAATGCACACATCTTGTCAAAACTACAAATAGTAATGCCTTTAATGAAATTTTCAATATTTTCATTTACATTATCTATTTTTCAGCTATTATAGCAAGAATGGTCAGCGCTTTATCTAAATCTTACATAATGTATCTTTAAGCCATTAAAAGCCCCTATTGATAAACAAGATATAAGATTAATCCAGGTTCTTGAGGCCTCCCCCTTATTTAAACATTAATTTTAGTTACAGTTTAGAGTTTGATTAAAAACTTGTTTACAGTTTCAGAGAGAATTAAATACACGTCCCCCAATAATTGACAAATATTTTCCCAGAAACTAAATTTGACTCACTACGCTGGCACCACCAAGCCTTCCAATGGGCCTGAAAAATGGACAAGAATTCATGTTGTGGTGGACCAGTAGATTCAAGTATGAATTTCTGCCAATCAAGTCCTCTTTTGCCATATTTGGAGATACAGGCTAGAGTACTCAAACATTAGCTGTATTCAAATCCAAACTCAAAACTCATTTGTTTGTTACTTATTATCATGATTAGCTATTATCTTCCATGCACTTAGAGCATGCAATATGCACTATCATAAATGTACATTCTTCTTATTATTTTGATTTGAAGTAAAATTCCCAGTGTTAAAGGGTCTCAGAAATAAAAGTTTGTCTCGTAAGTGTGCAAACCAAATGCCAGAAGATAAAGAATAAGATATTTAATTTCGGAGTGGAAGTGTGAATTACTATTTAATTTAGCTATTGGCCATTATTAGAGACAGTAGTGATATTTTATAATTCTTTTGAGCAAGTAAAGTTTAGTTTAGTGTTATTATGGCAATGTAAAGTTTATCTTCATGAACCCACGTCTTGGATAGGCTGGAATGAGAAGAACAAATTTCCACTTGGTAGCTAAAATCAAACACATCAGATTGACCAAATCTTTGTACCGTAGCTAATATACGACTTTCTCTCAAACACATCAGACCGACTAAATATTCGTAGCATGACTATCACGAAAACAAATTAGACAGACCAAGTCTTCGTAGCTAATATATGACTTCCGCCCAAACACGTCAGATAGACCAAGTCTTTGTAGCCAATATATGACTTCCACCCAAACACATCAGTTAGACCAAGTCTTTGCAGCCAATATATGACTTCCAGCCAAACACATTAGCTATATAATCCTTTAGTGGCATTTAACAATGGGAAACATAACAAAACTAACACAGTTATATTGGACAACAATCACTGGTTTATTATACACAAGCACGATGTTTTGATAAATATCCTCTTATCATTTTCAAGCAGATATTATAACTGTGTCAGTTTTGTTACATCAGATAGAACATGTCTTTATAGTTAATACATGACTGCCACCCAAACACATCAGATAGACCACATCTTCGTAACTAATACATGACTACCACAGACCAAATGTTTGAAGATAAAGTCACAATGTGTCATTTTAGTGCTATAACTACATTAACTAGTATAAGTTTACTTCCAAACTAAAATACCTCAGGGGTTTTCTCGGGGTCCTCCGGTTTTCACCCACTGCTAAAGATCCCTATGCGCAAGCTAATTATTGGAATAAAAATTGAACCATATGTTAGTCCCAAAATGACCTAGTTTGTGTTGAGTGGACGTTAAACACTCTCTCTCTCTCTCTCTCTCTCTCTCTCTCTCTCTGTCTAAACTAAAATATTGTGAACGATGAAGCTCTGATAGGAATATCAATATCACTCCAAAAAAGGTTCAGTTCCAGTCAGTATTATTTTATTAACAGTGTTGTGTGGAATTGAATTTTCATCAATCTGTGCTGTTTGCTTTGTATTAAACCCACCACCATTTTGTTGTCCTCCATGAATCTAAACCAGAATATTATCTAGCATTGGCATTTTGTTTTCTTTATTAAATGTTAGATAATCAATCTGTGTACATAAAAGCATGGATTACGCGCTGAGAAATTTGATATTTTAGCGATAAATGCAAACGACTCATTGTTACTTTAATAATTTATTACATTCACCAAAAACAGATTTTGAACATCTGTGTTATATTGTTTACCTGTGAAAAGGTTGAAAATCAATTTACACCTTGGTGAAGAGTAAATATATTAGATCTTTTTATGATTTCTATTACCTATATATGAAGTAGCAGTATATTATGTTTTTTTATAAGTACTACCTGTAAAGGTATTGAAATACTGTTTCGTTTTACTATTGTCTATTTTCCAATATTGACATTCCTGTGTTCATTATCTGTTCAAGTCTTGTATATAGTACCAGTATATTAAATATTCTTGCTGTCTCACAGTTATTGACAATATTATTTGACATGAGAGATTAAGTTATGTTAGATCAAATGATCGCTATACATTTTTCATGTAGTTTTTCTGTCTGATATATGTTTTATAAGTAATAAAATGAGGTATATTACATACTGTTATGTGCTTGTAGGTTACACTAGGATGTCAATATAGTGTTATTGTCTATAAGGTGGGTTTCAGTAAAAGTGGGGGTTGAGGGGGCTGAATGGTTAATGCGTGCACATTGAATCAGAAGGTCTGTCATTGAGTCAAGTTTTGTGGTTTTGATTCCCTGCTTGTACGTGACAAGTAGTAGGGTCGCCTGTTCAACCTCGTGGGTTTTCTCCGGGTCCTTTGGTTTCCTCCCACTGCTAAAGACCCCTACAAGCAAGCGAATTACAGAGAGAGACAAAGACTCCACACGAACTAGGTCATTTTGGGATAGCATATATTTTTAAAAAATTTTCAATAATTCACTGTGCTTAGGGATCTTTAGATGTGGGAGGAGACCGGACCCGGAAAAAACCCATAAGGTTGGACAGGCGACCCTACTCCTTGTCATGTACAAGCAAGGAATCGAAACCATGTCACTTGACTCAATGATAGACTTTATGGTTTCAGACACGCGTTATACAAAACAAATCTATGGACAAGACACAATACGCAGAAATCACAAACAAACATACATATCAAATTATGTGAATGGATCTGGGGGCTGTGGTGTAGACAGGCCTTGATGTTATCAATATATAGATAGCTCTGATCCCTACATTCTTACTACACTGTGGTGTAGACAGGCCTTGATGTTATCAATATATAGATAGCTCTGATCCCTACATTCTTACTACACTGTGTGTATATTGTACTATTGTCATTTATACCAGTCAATTCAATCACCACATAAACCCAGTTTTAATTTGATTGCTCTTGTTATCCGTAGGCTTAATATTATTGCCTTGGCAGTTGAATTCAGGCAGAAACTTTTGTTTTTCAAAAGATAAACTGTCTTTTGTGCGTGTGTGATTTATGAGTATATGTTTGATATGAAATTGGGAATATGTTTGGTTTTAAGTGAAATTGCTTGCTTGTTTTCGATAAGACGTCATTGAACTGAATATAAATCTATATCAGAATTGACAAATTACTTATTAATTTGTTTCTTGGAATATTTTAAAGAATTATTATTTTCTGTTTATTATAGATTTACGGAAAAGAACCTAGGAGAATTAATATATTTGTAATCTTGTTGTAAAATTGCATTACGTGATTCTTGATTATCAGTGTAGTAGAAATATCTGAAAGTGAAAATTGATATTTGTTGCAGGGACTCGAATTATACAAATGTATTGTAACATCAACACATGGTTTCTGTGCATCAAGTATTGAGTTCTGATTAATCATGTGTTATGTTGAGTTTTGTACAAACAAGCAATTTGTCGATAATTAATACAGTAATATTTATTACTAGTTTTTACATATCGAGAACTGCACCAAGACAGATTTATTGTTTCACCACTTTTCAGAAGTAGATAACACTAATTTGGTTTCCTGCAGTGTGAATTGAAAATGCTTTCAACATTTTGATTTGTGGACTGTTGCGTTGTGTTCTGAACAGAATTTTTTGGATTATGAAATTTGAAAGTTTGAAATGTTCTTAATATTTTGATTTGTGGGTGGACTGTAGCATATTGTTCTGAACCGAATCTTTTGGATTATGGAATTTGAAAGTTTGAAAAGTTCTTAATATTTTGATTTGGGGACTGTTATATATTTTTTGGATTATGGAATTTGAGAAGTATTCCTAAACTTTAGGACACAATCTTTTGGATTGTGAAATTTGAAATGTTTTCAATATTTTGATGTGAGAACTGTTATATTTTTTGGATTATGAAATTTGAGAAGTATTCCTTAACTTCAGGACATTATCTTTTATTTTTATCTTTGTGCAGCAGTTGAAATTAGTTCAGTATTGCTTATTTTGATTTCATGAAAACAGTTTTTTTTAATATCTTTGATTTTGTTAATATTAAACTGTCTTCATGAAAATTATTCAGTTTGGACTACACAATTCTCTGTGAATTTACTCTGCATTGGCCGTGTATAAGTGAAAGGATAGAATTCAAAATTTTAACAGTTGTGTGTCAGTGCCTTCATGGAAATGCTCATTTGTATTTAAAGGAACTTGTTAATCCCTACCAGTCAATACGACCTCTGCGATCTCAATCTCAACATTATATTACAGTATCAAAGTGGAAACTGAAAAAATTTGGTTTTAAATCATTTGAAGTTTCAGCGGCTTTGAACTGGAATGCCTTCCCGTTAGCTTTAAAATCTGCTCCAACATTTTCAATATTTAAATCTAAATCGAGGACATTCCTGTTTTCTAAATATTAAAAACAAACTCTAAAGTAACTTAGAATTGACTTTGTGTGCGCTTTGAGCAGACTAAATTGTTTGGAGTTTAGCGCTATATAAAAATCCTATTATTATTATTATTATTTTGTGTGAAATTATCTAATGATTAACTACTGTGATATCATTTAAAATGGTTACCACGGCTACCTGTATTCTTCCTCCAATTCAACTGGTTAAAAGTTGTGTAAAATTTTCTCCACGACAACATGGTATCAGAAGCAGACGCCTGAATCGTCGTAAATGTCGAAGTCTGGGTAGCGGATTATTCTCACATTATTTATTGGACAGTTTGATACTGACAGATATTGTGGTACATAATATTTTAATTCATTTAATGCGGAGTTCCCACTATCACGATTCGTGCTACGATTGAAATCATGTTTTAATTGTGGTGATCATATCAAGTTTTCTTGTATATTGAGGTCGGTCGTAGTAATCGTGTTGATCGTATTGAAACGTGTCGGAATGTATCTACACTTACCAGATCGTGGACTTAATAGGGTCAATTCTATTGTAGCGCATTGCATGACAGTGGGAACATAGCATTAGGGCATGGTCACACCTCTTTGATTTTATGTTCTTCGGGAACACACGTTAAATTTTTCTTCTTCTTTGTCACTCTCTCTATTCAAAAACTTTTAGTTCCAAATTTTTGAACTTGACATCTGTGGCTATTTATGTATCAAGACCCCAGATAACATGAAATTAAATTGGTTTGGCTAAGATAACAATATAAACTAGTGATTCTCAACCAGTGTGCCGCATAATTTTGAAAGGCACACTAAGAAAAATCGAAAAACCACATGATCTCAATTAAGTATTCGCTGATAAATTCATGGATGTGTTTTTCTTCATTTAGTTTAAGACATTCATTTAGTTTAAGACTAGTCTCTGTCTTTGGTTGTATGCTGTCTGACTTGCCATGTTTTTATTTTGCAAGATTCAAATATTTTTCATATATATTTAGCCAGGTGTGCCACTATTTTTTTTATGTGTTCCAAGGTGTTCCGTTGGCAAAGAAAGGTTGAGAACCACTGATATAAACGATAAGGAAACTAATCATATCACCAGGAGAAGAACCTCAGTTCTTTGACACTGACAAGTGAAGTTTTGCCGACTCGTTCCTTATGGCCATGATACTACTTAAAACGTGTTTGTTGTACGCCTACTTGTAGAATTGTGATAGGCTTAAAATTCTGTGTCACTTGATCACAGTTACATCAAACTTTCCAGGCAGACAATGAATAAAATTTCAACTGTCTGTTATGGATGATTGAAAATATCAGTGGTTTTGTCTATAAAATATGTGGTTTTTTTTCAGTCCTTACTAGAAACAGAAAAAGAATATCGTGAATTTGATAAACTGACTCAAAATACAAATCAAAATTTAACCAGTCCTCATGAAATTCAGTCATGTAAGTACAACAGTGTTTTATTGTCACAAATCATTATAAATTAATGACACTAGAATACCACAAACAATACGACCATACTATGAACCAGCAGCCAACCATTATGGTCTGTGACGTTATTGCGGCGCGCACGCTGTATCATAAGGCCTGTCATTGAGTCAACTGGCGTGGTTTCGAATCCTCAGTTGTACGTGACAAGGAGTAGGGTTGTCTGTCCAACCTCGTGGGTTTTCTCCGGGTCCTCCGGTTTCCTCCCACTACTAAAGACCCCTATGCGTAAGCGAATTATTGAAATAAATTTAAACCATATGTTAGTCCCAAAATGACCTAGTTTGTGTCGAGTGGACGTTAAACCCAATTTCTCTCTCTCTCGCTCTCTCTCACGTGTTTCATCCAGATTTTCCGGCGTGGTTTCCCCTTGTCAGTGATGCAGGACGGAGGGCCTGACAAGGACAGCTGTCTAGTCATTCGGATGAGACGGAAAACCAAGGTCCCGTGTACACATTGGCGTGCACGTAAAAGATCCCTTGACAATTGGAATTCATAATATAAGAGTAGGCCGTAGTGCTGCTGTCCGGGCAAAATTTCCCTCATAGCACACTGCATGGCGTATGCCCGTCTTCATTAGCCCAGTTCAGAGCAAAACAGTAGGACGTTAAACCCCATTTCGTTTCATTTCATTTCTCTCACGTGTTTGGGTGTGTGTGTGGGTGTGTGTGTGTGTGTTTTGGATGGCAGAATGGTTAGCACGGGTGCACTGTATCATAAAGTCTGTCATTGAGTCAACTGGCGTGGGTTCGAATCCCCAGTTGTACGTGACAAGGAGTAGGGTCGCCTGTCCAACCTCGTGGGTTTTCTCTGGGCCCTCCGGTTTCCTCCCACTGCTAAAGACCGCATCTCTCTCTCTCTCTCTCTCTCTCTCTCACGTTATTGCTGCGGTCATTTTAGAATATCAAAAATAGATATATGAATACCTTTCTGTATTATTAGGATCATTTACTTGTTTGTGTGGGTGCAACCACTGTAACCCAGGTATCATTTAATCTTGTGTATCTAGCACTTACTTCTTTCACATTCATTTAATATCCAATCCTTGTTTAAAAATTTGTAAAAATTATTTAAAATCACCAAAAATCATCTAAGTTGTACTTGTGTCCAGTTTAAAGATGACTGATTAATTTTTATAATGAATGTTCAGTTTACAAGTATTTAATTTCCTGACCACTGTTTAAAAATTAATCATTATACATCAATAATCAATTGGGTTGTTTATTTTCTAACAATGATAGAGAAATTAAACAATTGTAAATTGGACACTCATTATCAAAAATTGAATGGTCAGCTTTAAACTGGACATAAGTCCAAATTAGATGATTTTAAACATTTTTTACAGATTTTTAAACAAGGATTTGATTTTGAATGAATGTGAAAGAAATTAGTGCTAGATACACAAGATTACATGGTACCAGGGATTACAATGAACACCTGTGTACATGGCCGGGTGGTTTGGGGCGGTCTAAGTAATAAAGGTGTAATCTTTCTGTGGTCAAGTTCTCGGTTGAATAGAATCTCCTGAACAATATTTGTGTATATTTTACAGCCTGGCCACAAGATGGTAGCTCATCAAAAGTTCAACTGCCTGCTTTAGATCGACAACATTTGAGTACAATTGAAGATGTAAGTCGTGAAGGTACTGGTATGAGAGTTCTTCCCCCTATTGGTCATGGTAAGTAGAAATTAAATCACTGAAAAATAAAATGTCATTTGAGATTTATTCGCATAATGTTCCCCTTATAATCCAGACAAGCCATAAGGCACCTGTCACAGACTTTATCAGACACAAATTATCACTGAGCCACTGCAGCTCCGCCTTAGCATAGAAATGAATATGAAATGAAATGGAATTTAATGCCCTAATTCTGAGCACAGACTGGGCTAATGAAGATGGGCATATGCTATACAGTGTGTTGTAAGTTTGGGACTTTGGTTTTTTGTCCTGCACCATTGAAAACTGGAAACCATGCTGGAAAATTCCGAGGAACTGTCTCTGCCAACGTGGAGAGCAAACTCAAGACTTCAAGGTTAGCAAGCCAGTGTCTTACTTACTGCAGCCACCCCTTACTATAGAAAATTTAAACATTGTATATTATATAATTACAGGTGATAGAGTACCGTTATTAAATGTGGCACCACCAACACCAAAAGATGGTGCCAGAGATCAAGTAACTCAGACTTCTCCAGATGAAGGTAAGACAACAAAAATTAGAAAACTATCACCAGGCCTTGAAGAGTGAAGTCATTGCCGTAGTGCTTGATATGGTCTACTTCACCAAGATGTCTGATAATAATGCCACATCAGTTTTGTTCTTCAGGACCTGATATGAAAGTTTTGCCTCCGAGTTCATGAGAATTTTGTTTGCTCTTCTTAAAAATATTGATGTACTGAGCAGTCAAAAACAATGCCATTAGGGCAAATTTTCCCTCATAGTAAACTGCATGGCATATGTCCATCTTCAATAGCCTTGGGGGGAGAAGGGGAGCAAATGTTCTAACACATTCACTTTAAATCATAACAGTTGTCATTGAGTCAAGTGGCATGGTTTTAATTCCCAGCTTGTACTTGGCAAGGAGTAGGGTCACCTATCCAATCTCCTGGGGTTTTCAGGTCTTCTGGTTTCCTCCCTCTGATAGAGACCTCTTCTCGCAAGTGCTTTATTGAAATAAAATTGAAACATATGTTAGTATCAGTGTCGAGTGGGCATTAAGCTCTCTCTCTCTCTCTCTCTCTCTCTCTCTCTCAATAGTCTGGTTTGTTTGCTTCTGAAATACAAACCATGATTTAAGATAGTTGCTCTATTCATGTCTAGTCATTCAGATAGGACAAAAAAAACCCTAAGGTCCTGTGTACATGTTGGCATGCACGTAAAAGAACCCTTGACAGTTGGAATTCGAAATAAGCGTATACTGTAGCACCACTCTTTGGGCAAAATATCCAGCAGGACCTACGCTCGTCCTTATTAACCCAGTCAGTCCAGAACAGTAGCACATTAATCCCCATATTTATTATTCATTTATTCCTTTGTTCTTATTTTATAGATGATGAAGAATGGGGATTAGCAACGACAGAAGAAGCCATTTTAAGAAAAGCGAGGAAAGAATCTGAACAAAAAAGACATTTACTACAACAAGAAACGGAAGGGATTAAAGATTCATCTTCCAGTATAGTAGACGGTCAGTTGTTAGAAATATATACCATAGACTTATCTTCCAGTTGATCATTGGCTTAACTGTTGTCTTAATACTTCAAAACATGAAGACGGCTTGCTTAAACTGAATGTAAAAAAACCGCAGTGGTGATCATTCAGAATATTTACGTGACACAGTCGATCACAATAATTTCATTATACATTTATGTTAATAGTCGATCACAATAATTTCATGATGCATTTATGTCATAGTCGATCACAATAATTTCATGCATTTATGTTATAGTAAATGACAATAATTACATGAATTTATGTTTATAGTTGATCACAATAATTTCAAGATGGATTTATATTACAGTTGGTCACAATAATTTCGTAAATTTATGTTATAGTCGATCACAATAATTTCATGGATTTATTTAACTCTCCCAACGGCGACTTTTGTCGACACCTATAACGTTACCATTAAGTACCCACAGCGACTTTTGTCGACAAAACGAGTTAGCTGAATGCAACATTTCTAGCGTAATGAGAGTTACTTCCCTTATGAACAGACGACTTTTTTCGTTTGTTTACATGAGATTTTGAAAGTTAAAAATCTTACTGTTTCGTCTTGAAAAATATTAATAAAACGGTGATATGCCTAGGCCTATATGACAATGTTCTCCTAACGACGGATTATCATCCTTATTGGATGACATTGATTCAGATTTTATCGGTGGTGTAGATTTTTATAGTTTTGCGTTAGAACGTGATAACAAATTACTTAAATAAGCTTAAATTAAAAGAGATTCATGATGAATGATTTTTAGTTCACAACAGCCGAACAAAAAAATAGAACTAACCATTATATACATGAATTTTGCATGAAATGTCTAAATTAATTTTGGTATAAAATTCATAATTTATGAAAGTAACATTAAATTTAGGGCCTAGCTATCTACAGTTGTTTTGTTTAACACTATTGACCATTATGATGTGGGTTTTTATGACGTTATGACGTCAAACCTCTGGGTTATTTAAGAGTTAATATAGTTGATCACAATGATTTCATGATGCATTTATGTCATAGTTGATGACAATTATTTCATTATACATTTATGTTATAGTAGATGAAAATAATGCAATTATTTTATAATTGATCACAATGATTTCAGAAAGCATTTATGTTTCCACAAAACCGATTTCAATAGTTTTATCCAGCAGTTTCCTAGCTTTTCAACATATTGAACCTTGCTACCTGTAGCATGTGGGATATGGAACCTCATGACTGACTGTTACATATAGGATGTTGGATCTTCATGCCTGTAGTGTGGAATCATGCCTGTAGTGTGGAATATGGGAACTCCTTGTCTGTAGTATGGAATATGGGAACTCCCTGCCTGTAGCATGGAATATGGGAACTCCCTGCCTGTAGCATGGAATATAGGAACTCTCTGTCTGTAGTATGGAATATAGGAACTTCCTGTCTGTAGTATAGAATATATATTTGAGGATATTAATTCATTTAAACTTTTTGTTGTTTTCAATTATAATAATGTGATCACCAATTCCATATTTAATTTCTGGTAACAAAGTATATCCAATATATTTTATTTTCAGGCCCATTCCAAGCTGCAAAATTCCAGTTTGCTAGCGATACTGAAAGTCTATCATCATCACGCAATATTCCTATACCGCGTCCTTTACAGAAACGCCAATGGGCAGGATCAACTCACAGTCTGAAAAGTCATTCATCTAAACGTGGACGTAAGTGGATTTTGTCTTAATTTGATATTTAGGTGAGGTTTGGTGGCCGAATGGTTTATGACAAATCGAACCATGTTAGTCTCGAAATGACCTCGTTTGTGTTGAATGGACCTCTCTTTCTCTCTCTCTCTCTCTCTCTCTCTCTCTCTCTCTGTAGCCATTTTCCTCAGGTTTTGTAGTCTCATGCCTGTTATAAGAAAGTTACTATCTGAGCCATCTACTTTGTAAATTGGAGATTTTTACTTTCTCCAAAACTGAGCAATAAACAATTACGAAACCCTTATCACTAAACTTGCTGTCATCTTCGATTGCTTAAAATTAATTCACAGAACAATTTTCTGAAAAATAAAAGTTATCTCTTGTAAGGTGCATAATGTTTTTCATAAATTCATCTGGGGGATGGTCGAATGGTTAGCGTGTGCGCATTGTACACCCACGAGGTTGGATAGGTGACCCAACTCCGTGTCACATACAACCGGGGAATCGAAACCATGCCAGTTGACTCAATGGCAGACCTTATGATACAGTACGCACGTGCTAACCATTCGGCCATCCCCCCCCCCTTCATCAACTTAGAAGAACTAAAGAATATAATATGCAGTATACTACAAGATATACGCCTTTATAGGCTTTTATCATTTGGTATATGTCAATATTGACTGCTCCAGTTCCTTGAAGAAAATTCGAGAAATGTGATATATTAACAACAGTAAGCCTACACCCCTGAACAGTTTCTTAGACAGATCTGAGATCTATGTGAATAGCTTTCACCATTTACTAGTTTGTATAGGTGCCTCATGTACAGCTGTGCACGTGATAAGGCGGTTTGGGTCTAAAGAGCCCTAGTTTGGGTCAGGGGCATGGTGATCCATGATTTTGCATGTGAAAAAAGAACATGTCCTGGGCCCCCAAAAAATAATATTTCTATGTGTGTGCGTGGAGGGGTGGGGTGGCAGTTCCTCCCAGTGCCACAAGGTAATATTGAGGGGTGTGGAACATGCTAAAGTTGATTTGTAGCATATCTGACCCACGGTATATGTTTGACACTGGTTAAACATTATGATTATGATTATAATATTGAAAACCACATTGAAGCTGGATGATTTTTTTACATTTGCGAGGGTTGCAAAAACTCAAGGGGGCGCAAAAACTCAAAACCATGAGCTTTGCGGCTCTCTCATATAGCCCCTGGTTGGGGTGATCCAAGTACTAAAGGGTTGATTGAAATAAAAAATGTATATTTAAATGAATACATTTTCTTTACAGCTGGTAGTGTGACAGGAGATGGGTCTATGAGGGGAAGTTTAATCTGTGCTCCTGGTGGTGAAGTTATTCGTATTGGTGGTTCTGTAGCACATTCTGGTAGTCAAGGTGATGTAGCCAATCTAGGAGAAGTAACTCCAAGAGGAGTTCCAGTAGAATCAAAATCAGGTAAAAACTTTTCAAATGTTAGGTATAGACAAGTCAGCGGATTGCATGTTTTCGTGACCATCATCAATATTTATTGGTAGAATTTTCTTATCATTACTGATGAACTAAAATAATAAAATGATTTTCTTGATGAACTAAAAATAAAAAATGATTTTCTTGATGAACTAAAACAATAAAAATCATTTTCTTAAAACAATAAAAATCATTTTTTTGATGAACTAAAACAATAAAAATCATTTTTATGATGAACTGAAACAATAAAAATGATTTTCTCCTCCGCCACCCCTTTAAAAAAGTCCCCCCCTCCTTAAAAAATGTCGACAGCACCCCTGAGAACTCTTCCCACCCCTCTGGTTGCTCTGAGCTAGTTACGGCCCTGCTAGCTTAGTTTCTGTTCTCAAGCGAAGATAATTGTAGACAGCCTAAGTTTAATATGGCACTGCCAATCTGTATATGGGTGGACCTGTTTCTTTTATTGCATCTTAAACCATTCCTCTGATTACACCCACAATAAATGGGAACTGGATTTGAAAAATCATAAAGTTTTTTCTCTGCCACGTTGGCTCAGTGAGTAAGATGCTGGCTTACTAGCCAGGGGGTCTAGGGTTTGCTCCCGGTGTTGGCCGAGAAATTCCTCAGAATTTTCCGTTGTGGTTCCCCCTTGTTAGTAGTGCAGGACGAAGAGTCTGTCCAGGAACAGTCTAGTTGTTTCGATGGTGCAAAAACAAAGTCCCGTGTATACATTGAAATGCATGGAAAAGAACCCTTTTGAAATAAGAGTAGGCCGTGGTGTTGCTTCCCAGGCAAGATTTTCCTCATAGCACACTGCATGGTATATCCCCATCTATATTGGTGATGATGACCATGAAGATGATTTATTTATTTATTTATTTATTTATATATTTATTTATTTATTTATTTGTAAAAATGTAAGATATAATACCTTTGAAATTTGTATATAAGCTACGGCTTGTTTTCAGATCCACAATATCAGTATTGTAAATAATCATGATATATCGTTTAAACAATATTAACCCAGTCAGTGTAGAACAGTAGAATATTAAACCCCATTTCAATTCATTTCTTGTATTTTTACCCACAGTTTACCATATAACTGATGATTCTGATACAGAAGAACCCGAAGCCTGGAGATCATCAAAATCAGATAAAAAATCAGCCGGTCTCTATGGTTACGGTAAAAGTAAGTATATATATTCCTGGATACTGTAGTGACTATTACTTATTTTAATAATGAGGCAGAGAAATAAAATTTGCATTGAATGAATTTCTACATGTAAATTCCTTATTGTCACTTCTTTCTTGAATTTCTTTTTTATTTTGTTAGTTTCAAATTGATGTAGTTTTAGTACTAGTGTTTTCAGGTGAGCTTCTCTTTTGGACCCCGGGATGTTGGGTGGCCGAATGGTTGAGCATGTGCGATTTAGATCATAAGGTCTGTCATTGAATCAAATGGTGTGGGTTTGATTCTCTACTTGTATGTGGATTTTCTCATGTTCATCTGGTTTCCTGTCACTGCTAAAAACCACTAGCCCCAATGAATTATTGAAATAAAATTGAACCATATGATAGTCCCAAAATGACATAGTTTTCTTGAGTGGACGTTAAACCACATTTCTTTCTCTACCTCGCTTTTAGTCCCATCTGAATACCTGAAAACATTTTCCATCTAAACCAGACATATTACTAGTAACAAAGGCAAATGCAGTTTGAACAAACTTAAAGAATGGCTTTGTCTAATCACTGTAACTGATTGTGAAATATGACTGTAGGTAGAAATATATCAGGAGGAGATCTAGATGCTAGCATGTCTTTAAGAAGTTTTAGTTTCTCACGCAAAGGTCAAGATGAGGATGATTTTAATTTTTCGACAACAGGAAGCCTTATTAATCTATCTCTTTTAAGACTGGATGGAGGTAAACTTGAACGTGCTGTGTGGATTTTTTAATCTGTCATTGTTTCCATTAAAGGAGAACTTAATTTTATTGTCCATGGCCTTAGAAGAAAGCAGGGAACGATTATCGTGTTTGTCTGTGTTCCTGGGCTAAATCTATTTGTTAAGGCCAGCCCAATTTTTGTCAAGTTGATTGAGCTATAAATAAGGTTAGGTTCATGATTTTTGGCGAGATTGTAGGTTAGGGATAGGGTAAACATTGGGGCTAGGTCCAGGGTTAGGGTTGCGATTAGCGCTAGCCCTACTTACATCTCGTGATCTATGACAAAAAATTGAGTTGGCCTTATCATTTAGCACTAACCGTCTTCCTGTCCATCACACATATTAAAACAATAATTCTGCTTCTAATGGAGCTAGAATACTTAGTGTATACTAGTTTCACTACATCAAAATGTTGACAACGTTCAAGCATGGGCACGATTGATGGTTATCTGCCCCCCCCCCCCTCTAAAAAAATCATTGGTAGAAGTTCTCCTTTAAAACAATGTGTCATTTGTGGACTTGATTTAATCCAATCATTTTTACTGGTTTTTATGAAATTTAACCCAATCATTTTTACTCTTTTTCATGAAATTTAACCCAATCATTTTTACTGGTTTCATGAAATTTAATCCAATCATTTTTTCTGGTTTGTTCTAATCTTCAGATAAATACTGTTCTTTAATTTTTAATGTAAAGAAAGATTAATTTCTATTACATTTTGTTGCCATTACAACTTTATTCTGTGACCTTGTTGCAAATAAAAGTACCAATCAAGAGATATTTAAGACTGTCTTTTTGGTAATTTGATATAATCAATTTCATTAGATTTTGACTGGTGTGATTGGTTTGGGTATATTTTAGCTGGGATTAATTTGGGTATAATTTATTAGCTGGGATTAATTTGGGTATATTTTAGCTGGGATTAATTTGGGTATATTTTAGCTGGGATTAATTTGGGTATATTTTAGCTGGGATTAATTTGAGTATGTTTTAGCTGGGATTAATTTGAGTATATTTTAGCCTGAAAAGTTTAATTGAGGATCAGCAGCTTTAAACCATCAAAATTCATTTGTCAAGTTCTCTTTAAAAAAAAAAAAAAAATGGGGGGGGGGGGAGATACTCAGCAATCTGCATATTTTTGCAAACATGTAACCATTTGGAATTCAATATAAAAGCAGGCTGTAGCACCGCTGTCCGAGCAGAATTTCCCCTGATACTACACTGCATGGTGGATACCTGTCGTCATTAGCCCAGTTGGTGCAGAAAAGTAGGATGTTAAACCCCATTTTATTTCATTTAACCCTTGTATATGTACATGTTTCCTACTATAATTAAATAATGATAAATGTAATGTTTTGGGTATATATAATTGTTGAGATAGGGTTGATTTTATTTTTCATCTAGCGACAATTTAATCAAAACCAAAACATACCAACTTCTACTTCGTCTGTTACATCATGTATAACAATTTGCTAATATGTTACTAAATCTCTGTTTATGCGCCCACATTTTAATGCCGTCTCTCAATACATCTGTCTGTCTGTCATTTCGTCTGTCCAACCTCTTAGGTTTTCTCCGGGACCTCTGGTTTCTTCCTACTGCTAAAGACCCCTATGCACAACCAAATTATTGAAATAAGATTGAACTGTATTTTAGGCCCGAAAGGACATAGTTTGTGTAGAGTTGAGGTTAAACTCGCTCTCTTTCTCTCTCCGCTTGTCATCCACTTCTCTTATTTTACCACAGTGGAGACTGCAGTTATCCATATTGTCTTGAAATTGGGTTGTCTTTATTATTGCAACTTTTCAATAATCACATTTAGAGTTATTCACCTTTGTTATTAATTTATAGTTTGCCATTATTAACCTGTCTTGTGAAATTTATGTTAGTTGTCTTTCCAATGTAAAAGAAAACCAGTCTTTGATCGATTTTTGGTAAGAACATCCAAAGTCATTTCCCGGTTACGAAATTTTGTTAGCACCATAAAAGTTCAATTCTGTTCAATTATGAGCTGCTTTGGTTGTAACTGCTTCAGTGACTTATCTGCTGGTGGGTGTATCGTATGCTTCATAGTCTGGTATGTATCACTTCTGTTTATTTAACACTTAAATTTGAAAGTGCTATTTCTTTTATATTTGAATTAATTACATTTTAGCATGCATTTTACATTCTTGCTGTCATTAGGTAGGAAGTCATCCAGCTCTGTTGAGGACACAATTAAAGGTTCCAATGACAGAGAAGATGAAAGCGATGAAAACCACTGGGAAAAAATCACCGAATATCCTGAGCTAGAAGGTGTGGATACAAATCGTAGTCAACTTGTAACAGAGGATAGTATGACGCCAAGTCCTAAAAAAGCAGCTTGTAAAACCCCAGAATCTGGACTTGGTGCATCTGCAAATGCACAACCAATCATTGAAGAACCAGAAAAACTTTCACCGACTCCTGAACCTAAGCAGAATTCACCTGCTAATAAAGAATGCATCAAATCTGCTAAAAGCGAACGCATCCAAGAAAATCCTTTTGATAATTCTGGTTCCTTTTCTGACAGTGTTTTTGTCAGTGACAAATCAAATGGCAGTACATTACAGGCTGATTTGAAAACAATTAAATCATCCCCAACCAAGCCAATCGAACAACAACCTGTTGCTAAAATTACCAAAGAAACAGTGCCCCAGAAAGTTGTAGTCATTGAAACATCTTTCAGTGAAGCCCAGTCTTCTTGTGGTTGCGACTCAAATCAAAATGGTTCCTGGTCTCAGAGAGAGAAAAAGTATACAAAAAAGAAGAAAAAGCAAGACTCAAATCGACAAGAAAAGAATAAAAAATTGGCCCCAGAAGTGAATGTGGTGGAAAAAAATCCTTCACAATCGCTGGGACTTCCATTGTTGGATATAAGACACCTATCGAACCAAGATGTGTTGACGGAAAATGCACGTTTATCACCACTACCATGCAGTACAGGACGTTTATCAGCAAGGAGAATTGTGTCTGCTAAAAAACCAGTTGAATCTTTAGGTCAGGTAGAATTAACATCTCATGGAATCCAAGAAATTACTGACCAACCAAAGACCAACAGAGATACATCGAAGGATGGTCACCCTCTTTCTACACGTGTTCGAAAAAGAAGAAAAGTAAGACATCGAAAAATTAGAAAAAAATCTTTACCAGTTATAGAGAGACGAAGACCGGCTGCAAAAGTCCGTACTGAAATGGCCAGCGTTCCCACAGGTGTTGGTAATGGTTTCAATACCAATAATGATGAAACACACTCCGATAATGTTAGTTCTCCATTTTGGGATGATTCTTCTGAATGTGAATCTGAATATGAATACTATTATGAAGATGGGGAAGTAGTAACAGATCTTAAAGAACTTGAGAAGGAGTTCTCAAGGTCATTATCATCCTTAAATGAATCAGGAATCTCGGATCTTCAAATAACTGGCTCCGGCGTTATGGTTCCAAGTCCTCCCGAGACGACTAAGCTTGACACTACTCGTTCGGATAAATCAGGATCATTTATTACAGAGATTGCTAATATCGAAGTTGAAGGTATTATATGTTATATTAACTGGTGTTCACATCAAGCATTCACAAGAAACTGGTGTTCACATTGGTATGGTTTGGGATTCACAGTTTATAACAGCTAACACTTTTTATTTTGGTACAAAAACACAGGTGTTCACATCAAGAACTCACAAGAAACTGGTGTTCACGATGATTTGGTGTGGGATTCACAGTTTATAAGAGCTAACACTTTATATTTTTCAACATTTTCAACACTTTTTTAAAAATATTTTACACGCATCATCACTTCAAATGTTTAAGATTTACGTCATATTAATTTCAGGTGCATGGCAGTAAAATTGTTGTTTTTTTTTTATACTGGTGTTGATCATTCTATAATTAGGACTATTCCTAGTCCAAATAAAAATTACCTATGTTAATGACTGTTGATGGTTACCTGACCGACCTTATTTCCCAGACACTGTATCTATAACTCAAGTTTTGGTTTGATTTTCTGTTGACAAAATCCAACACTGAAATTTAGATAACATTTTCAGGAACTTTAGTCAGTAATTTAGCTAGAAATGCTTGGTAATAGATAAAACAAACTCCACAAAAACAAAAACGAAACAAACGATTTTTCCGACTGACCGACCCTATTTTTGTGGGGCTCGTCAACCATAAACATAGGTATTTTTTTTTTTTGACCCCTATCATGACTTTTCTTTATTTTCTCTGTTTTGTTTTGTTTTTCAAAGGAAGGGAATCTGTTCAGGTTTATTTTTCAAAATAAAAATGTTGAATTATTTGCACTCATGTTTACTTAGCACTCATTGTCACGTTAACTGTATTGTCTTTGTTAATTCTATTATAATATATGATTTAAAATGAAATTCAAAAAGGCATTTGTCTTTTTTGGTGTTCTGTACATTTTTTTTTTAATTTCATAAATCATATTCAGCTATTTCCCCCAAAAATTATTAAATCTTTACAAGAATACACAAATCAAATAAAAATAAAAACTTGACTGAATTTTACAATTTTTAAAATGATTCTTCTAAATATTTGCTAACTATCAGATATTGATAAGACAGCTATTTTATTGATGAAGATTTTAAGTTTTCCAGTGGTTTTCAGTTATAATATAATTGTTTCAGAGTCTATAACAGAACAAAGTATTGTTAATGCTCTAACTGAACATGCCCAGGCTATAGCTGAACATATTCTAGGTGAAGGCGGGGGAATAGATCTGGAAGATGATATAAGGGTACGTTTATTAAGCTTTAGTAACACTTCAGTGAGTTTAAAAAACAATTATATTTTATTAGTTATTAAAATATTGTCTTATTTTTTTGTTGTCTGAATAATATGATTTTACATTTTTACGCATTTAAATTTATATAATAATTATATCTAGAATTCTGATAAATCGAATATGTATATTAAAGATGCATTTTGTAAGAGCTAAATCGGCTAGACATTTATTAACTTACGAAGACTATAATCAACTACCGATGCCATAAAATGCTCTAGATTTTCGAAGGATTTTGACACGATTGGCGCTTAATGATTTAATTAAAAGAAGGATAATCAAGACTTTGTTTACTATCGTAACAATGGTAGCAATGACAATCTAGGCTCCTTTACATGTGTATTCTCCAAACAACCCTAACCTCACTCAGAATGAAGTAATTTGACTGAAATTTTCAACATATTCCCTTTTCATTATCTATTTATCTTAACCTTACATAATGCATCTTTAATAATGTTTTAATGTATTTAGTAGTATATTAATGACAAGTTGCTTTCATAGACCAGTTAAAGTTAACAATACTAGCTAGCAGCTGATTATTTAATTTTATATTTTTATATGTCAAATTAATTTTATAGACAAGTTAAATTAACAATACACTTGTATTTTATATTTTTATATTTCAAATTAATTTCTTTAGAAAGCTGCTAATTTTTATATTTTCATATTTCAAATTAATTTCTTTAGAAAGCTGCTAATTTGTGGATGCAAACCCATCCTCCGAGAAAATTATCCAGAAGTCAATCTGTGCAAGAATATGTAAGCCTGTTTTAAAGTTGGCACTAGTTGTGTTGCACTATCATACTGATGGGTTGTTTATTAGATGTTCTGTGTTCACTGTCGTGTTATACTGCGATTATCTCTTCACCTTTTGTCTGTGTAATTAATTTTGTTGACCCTAAAACTCCACATACACTTTATATTCTGCACCCACTCCTTCTGGTACACCTATCCCCGTTTCTAAATCGCGAACCTGGAGGTCTTGTGTTCGGTCCCTGCTTTGACCGAGAAAGTTCATCAGCTTTTTGCGCTGTGGTTTCATCTTGTCAGTGATGCAGGATGGAGGGTCTGGTAAGGGACAACATGTAGTTCTTCGGATAGGATGCAAAACCAAGGTTCCGTGTACAAATTGGCATTCGATATAAGAGTAGGCTGTAGTGCTGCTGTCTGGGCAAAATTTCCTTCAAAGTACGCTGTATGGTGTATCTTGATTAGCCAAGTCAGAGCAGGACAGTAGCACAATTAAATCCCATTTCATTTCATTTTTTTTCTAAATTTCTGTCTCTACAAATAACACCTGACATTTCTTTTTGTATGTCTATATTTTATATATAAGGTCACATCAATTTAATTCTCTGTTCTTCAGGAACATTTGTTAATATTAGGCTCTGTATTTCTTCAGGAAAAAAACAATTAATTACAAAACCAAAAGTACCATTCAAAAGCTTTTAATTCCAAATTTTTAAGTTCTGAAATTTTAAACAAAACATTTTTTATGTGATTCAAGTGACTATTTATCCTGAAGAACTGAAACATTGCATTGGTTTGGTCTATCTGTCAATATAACCTGTCTTCATTAATTGTGATCTTACCGGGGAAAAGATGGGCTTCTGATATCTAATATTTAAGATAAAATGAATATTTTACCATTGATACATGGATCGTGTACCATAATGCGTTACAGCGCCATTTGTAGCAAGGGACCTCCAAGAATGAGGCTATACATTTTTATACGCCCACATTTTCATGTGGACGTATTATGCCGTCGCCCCTGTCCGTCCGGACGTCCACAATTTGTTTGTGGACACTCTACAGGTCACAATTCTTATCCGATTTTAACGAAACTTGAAATATAGGTGTATCTCCCAAAGATCTCGGCTGCTTTCGATATTGGCCCCTGTTTGCACGAAAAATCACGTTTTTGGCTTGTGGACCCTATAGAGGTCACAATTTTTATCCGATTTTGTTGAAACTTGAAATGTAAGTTTATAACCCAAAGATCTTGATTCCTTTCGATATTCGCGCATATCGGACCGTAACTATGGCCCCTGATTGTACGAAAAATCACGTTTTTAGCTTGTGGACCCTATAGAGGTCATAATTTTTATCTGATTTAAAAAAACGTATTATTATATCACCGTTACACCATAAGGACGACTGACTTCGAATTTCGTGAAAATCGGCCCAAAACTGACAGACAAAATGGCCGCCCCTCTTTCTCAAATAGCTTAAAAATATGGTATATCAAGGTTGTGGACCCTATAGAGGTCACAATTTTTATCCGATTTTGTTGAAACTTGAAATGTAAGTTTATAACCCAAAGATTTCAGTTTCTTTCGATATTTGCGCATATCGAATTGTAATTTCCTGAATTATGGCCGTTGATTGTAGGAAAAATCACTTTCTTTTTAGCTTGTTCTCTATCCATCTCTCGAAAATGTGGGCGTATTCTGCCTGGCAGCCGCTGGTTCACAAGTAATGTCAAACGGTGAAGGCATATTCTAATCTGAAGAGCAAGTACAATAAATACTATCAGTGTAGACTGGAATAACAAGATGCTAGAGATTGCCATTCGATTGAGACTTCTGGCATATTTTGCCAAACATAATTGATTAGAAATTGCGGTAAAAAAAGAAACAATTAAATGTAAATCAGTTTATATACATTCATATTACATTATTATATGCATTGCGATCCATTTGTGTAAATTAGCTCCCAAATAGCTCCTTTAATTTCCGGTAGGTGAGAGTAATGGTCTGGTGATTAAACGCATGCGCATGAAACCAGCCATAAGATCTGTCATTGAGACTAGTGGAGTGGTTTTAAATCCTGCTTGTACACGATAAGGAGTAAGGTCGCCTGTCTAACCTTGTGGGTTTTCTGTGGGTTCTCCGGTTTCTTCCCACTTTTAAAGACCCCTCCATGCAAACAAATTATTAAAATAAAATTCAACCATATGTTAGTCTCAAAATGATCTGAGTTTTATCACTGGACATTAAACCCCATTTCTCTCTCTCTCTCTATATATATATATTGTAGGTAATGTATTTTAGTGTGATATTTATGTAGTATAGCTAGGTAGTAAAGATAAGAGGTGTTGACATGGGGGTATGTCTCTCTATCATCATATATGGGAGCCATGGTGGCTAAGTGGGTAAGACATGGCTCTTTAGCCTGGAAGTCACAATTTCAATCCCACTATTGGCCGAGAAAGTTCATCGTGATTTTCGGACATAGTTTCCCCTTGTCATTGGTGCAGGATGGAGGGCCTGACAAGGACAGTTGTCTAGTCGTTCCGTGTATACATTGGCGTGCACATAAAAGATCTCTTGGCAGTTGTGATTTGATATAAGAGTAGACCATGGTGCAGCTGCCTGGGCAATATATCCCTTATAGCACACTACTGTATGGTGTATGTTCGTCTTCATTAGTCCAGTCAGAGCAGAATAGTAGGACGTTAAACCCCATTTCATTGCATCATATTTGTAACAGGTTAATGAGTCAATATGTTCCTTCCAACCATGGGTTCTATATATAGGTTGACTGTATCTGCGAGTGAAAATTTAACGATATGTCTCGGGGGTCCGGGACCCATTCAAAACCAAATTTTTCAATAATGGCTACGACCCCTCCCCCCTCCATCTCCACCCCCACTCCACCCCCATGTAACTAGAATTTTGTATAGAATATTGCACACGATTCGAGATTGTTTCGAGTGTTGTGTTGATAATTAAGTTCAAAATCTATTTGTTATAAATTGGCCTTTCAGTCGTGGAATAGATCCTGGGTTTCGAGTCTTTCAGAAATTGCTTAGCTGCAATTTTTTTTGGATGTGAAGGATTGACAAAGTCAGAGTGTACCCTGTGTATTATTATAAACTATTAAACTGTTATTTTTTGTCTTCTGTGATTGTGATGATTATATTTTACAGAGAGCTATTGATACCGTAATGAAATCTCAGAGAATCAACAGTGCTGCACCTACCACTGCTGAATATAAAGAAATGATTAAAAAGTCGATCACATCTGCTGGTTAGTGCCCAAAAAGTTGTGATTCTTTTGATTTGTCTTTTAGTGGGGATGACAACCTTCAAACACTCATAACTTACCTCTTTGATGAAGTAATTTGACCCAAGTTTGCAGTAGATTCATTTTGCTCTTTATCTAAATGTAACTTGATGTACCTTTAACATTTTCTTCTTCTATGAATACAATTTCTATTTTAATTACAGTTGCTAATGCAGCAGGTGTTGATATAACAGCTCTAAATTTAGATGCTGATATTAGTGATGAACTGCTTGAAGCTTTAGCTACACAAAATGTGTCCCCAGATGATGTGAAGATTGTTAAAGATCCTTTAACTGGACGAAGTCAACTTACAACATCTCGAACTAGTTTAAAAGATGGTCATCTTTATATAGAACCAAATGGAGGTATGACACAATGATATGAAATGAAATGGGGGAGTTTAACATGCTGCTTTTATGCACAGACCAGGTTAATCGAGAGGATCATACGCTATACAGTGTGCTATGAGAGAAATTTTGCTCGAAGAGTGGCACTAGTTCCTTGGCCAACACAGCATCAGGAGCAACCCAAAGACCTCACAGTTTGGGGAGCCAATTTCGTGGGCACTAAGCCACCGAGGCTCCTGAGGTATCACACAACCTGATTTATCATTACAAATTTTACAGTCCTTAGGATCTAAGGAGTGCTTTACTGTGGTCATGAATTTTCATTGGCTTACTAGTTTCATTTTGAGTGGAAAGAAAAGTTCTAGGTGGATATAATTTCGTCGAACAGCCCTACATGGTCTCACTTTTTTAGCCATCCACTAGCCACTAGGTTCATCTCTCAGAAAAATATTGTCTTGTAATAAGTTTACCTGGCTTTGTATTCTGGTGGATTTAATGAGGGTACTTTGTGTACAATTATATTTTTGTATGGTCACCTTTGTTTATCCGTCCACAATCTCTTGTGGACACCCTGCAGGTCAAAGTTCTTTTTATGGAGGTTTTTTTTTCAGATTTGCAAGGATTGTTAATTTGGTTGTACGGAAAAACCTTATTAAATTCCAGAATCTATGGATCACAAATTGTTGATTGAATCCACCACTTTTTACCTTTGATACAGTTTATTGTTCTCAACAGAAATTTAAACTTCAGAGCTAGCACAACTTGCTACTGGTGGGATTATTAGGGGATTTGAGAAGCGTCTGTTTATGTTTTAATTTAAAATTAGCATTGTCTCTTGCTATATTTGGTACATAGTGCATTAATAATTTATAACTACATGACTTCTCTTTGATAAACAGGAAATGTAACGGACAGACCAGTAGCCTCCATACCATCCGAACGGTCATCTGTAAAAGATATTGGTGATGTTGATGTTATCAGTTATATGGCATCTGAGACAATAGAGTTAGCAGAAACTATCAAATCAGAAAAATCAGACAGATCTGATACCAAATCCAAGGCGAGTCGCTCTAAAGCCTCTTCTGTTTCCAGTGAGCAGGATATCAAATCTGTGAAAAGTGTAACAGAAGAACAACAAGTTGAGGAAAGGGAACTGGAACAAGTTCCTGACACAGAAGTAGAACAGCCATCACCAGAAGTTCCTGACACAGAAGTAGAACAGCCATCACCAGAAGTTAAACCAACTGTTGCTGAAGCTGAAAAAGATGTAAGTTGAGAACAAATGAGAAATATATTAAAAGATACATTATGTAAGATATAGTAAAGGGATGGCCGTTCTTGCTATAATGGTTTAAAAATAAATATTAAAAAATGAATATATTGACAATTTCAGTCAAATTAATTTATTCTGAGCGAAGATATATAAACGAAGACTTGATTTTCCAGTTTAGCGTTAACATATTAAATAGCATATCTATTCAACATCCAAGTTTTCCTTTGATTTCTTCAGTAACACCTGTAAAAATTGTCCTTATTATTTCTTCAGGAAAAAGACTTATTTAAAAACCAAGAGTATGTGATTTTGCAGTTTTGAAATTTTAAAGTTACAATTTCATATTTTCTAAGAAAGTCAAAACATAATTATTTCTATGTCTTTTGCTCAATAGGTTGTAAACTCACTATTATACGATCATAGGTTATCTTTCTCACACTTAAAAATCTTCACACCGGAAATAATAACACAATTAACTCCCAATTACCTCCCTTGTTTTCCTATTCCCACCATGGAATAGCTATCTTCAAACATTTGAATTTGAAGTTGAAAATGATATTTTTGACAATTTCTCAACTGGCAATAGTGAATTATAGGATTAATAGGATTATTCTTTAACAAGGTAGGACTGTTTATAGATACCATCTATTTTAGGGCTTTATTTTAATACATTTTAAAAATATAACTTAAAAATATGAAATTGTAACTTTAAGCAAAACATGTTTTGTGTTATTTAAACATACATTATGCAAGAGCTAAATCTGCCTATTGCAGGTCTTTCTTTAGGCCTGAAATGTTATTTAAATTATTAATTAGACATTAATTCACTTATCCAGACCATAATCAACTCTTGATGTCATCGCTAGCCTGCGATATTTACTGGATTATATTCCGATCTGCTGCCCAACACTCATTCATGATTAAATAAAACAAATGGATAATCGAGACTATGTTTTTTATCATACCAACTTTAGTAATAATGATCGAGATTTGGCCCAAAATTTAATTGCTAAATTCTCAGTTCAGAGTTGATCGATTTGACTGAAATTTCCAGCAAATTCCCTTTACATTATCAAGTTTTTAACTGTTATAGTGAGAACCGCCAGCTCTTTATCTAATCTCCCATAATGTATCTTTAAGTGAATATTATTTATCAAGACCCCTGAAGAACAGAACATCAAATTGGTGTGGCCTTATTCTGGCATGGGGGAGGGGGGGGATGGTCTAGTGGTTTAACGCGTGCATGTGAAATCACAAGGTCTATCATTGAGTCAAATGGCATGGTTTTGATTATCCGCTTGTATGTGACAAAGAGTAGGGTCGCCTGTCCAACCTCGTGGGTTTTCTGTTGGTCTTCCGGTTTCCTCCCACTGCTAAAGACCCCTATGTGCAAGCGGATTATTGAAATAGAATGTTAGTCCCGAAATGACCTAGTTTGTCCCTCTCTTTATCCTGACATGTTAGGGCTTTAACTTACATTATCTTTCTTACAGGAGGAAACCACTCCAGTTAAATCAAAACCAGCCTCGCCTGAAGAAGAAAAGAAAGTTAATACAAGTGATCATGGTAGCGCTAAGAGCCGAAGAAGTTCTGAATCTATAAGATCCCAAGATAAAAATAAAACCAAACCGGTTAAACTTGAAGAAAGAGAAGAATTTGTAGTAGGTAAGTTGAAATGAAATAAAACAATAGAAATTTCTCCTGTGTGAATCAAAAAGTTTGGGATTGGGTGGTCAGATGGTCTAATGTCTACACTTTAGATCATAAGATCTGTCATCAAATGAAGTAGGGTTGTGACAAGAACTAGGGTCATCTGTCCTACTTTATGGGTTGCGCATGCAACAACCTCTAGACACCAGCAATTTATTGGAATAGAATTGAACCATATATTAGTCCTGAAATGATCTAGTTAAACCCCAACTGATGACATCACAAAGTTTTATCATTGTGTTGTGTTCTCAATTGTGAACTGTTATCAGCCAATTAAAAGTCATCTGTTTCCATCACACCAAGAACAAAGATGATATGAATTGATCTATATATAAACTCATTAAAGACACATGCATAATGCAGCCTACTGATTGTAATAATAATAATAATGATTATTGCATGCTCTAAGCATATGGAAGATAATGACTAATCCTGATAATAAGTCATAAACAAATGGGTTTTGAGTTTGGATTTGAACATAGCTAATATATTTGAATTATGTATCTCAAATGGTAAGTTATTCCACAGACACTGAAGGCCTTGTCAATATATAGCACCAGTTCTGAATATATAATATATCTTATGTTGTGAAAAAAAACAGATCCATGAAATAAAGACAAAATAAAGATTCAATTCTTGCTATAATAGTTCGGAAATAGATAATGTAAAATGAATAATTTGAAAATTTCATTCACATTACTCTATTGCGAGCAAAGATATTAGCATTTGAAGGTTTGGCAAGACGTGCACAATGATTTCAACCACCGTACTGGTTGTTTGAAGCTAAATCTCGCTCCCCCATTTTTAGCTTAAATCAAAATATGGCTGAAATGTTCTAATCTATTTAATATCAGAGAAATCTGATGGGATCGAGAGTTGATTATGGCCTGGATAAGTTAATTAATGTCCTAATTAATAATTTAGAAAACATTTCAGACCTAAAGAAAGACCTGCAGTGGGCAGATTTAGCTCTTGCATAATGTATGTTTAATAAGATTGTAAGTAACCTTGAGATATTTTCAGACAAAGTTAGTTGTCCTACACTGTAAAGTTAATATCGTTGAGTAAGCAAAATATAAATTTTATAAATGAAAATATACAACACTAAAAAATCAAAGTCGTCATTTTATATACATAATGTGTATTAGTTAAAGTTGTTAGTAATCATGAGAGAAAGAACCCTATAGATATTCGGTGTTCCACGGCAGTCGGTATCATAGTTATTCCCCCTTTGTTGAACACCTTGTGAACGCAATAGATTTTTTCAAATTTGGTTGGAAGCATTGAGGTCATGAGAGGACGAATGTTATCTCTATCCAGCATTTGTCAATATTCCGTTCCAGAACTGCACCCATTTCCCCTACTTGATGAAAAATATGTGAACAGAATAAAAGCTATAGTTTTTATACACCCACATTTTCATGTGGATGTATATTGTTTTCGCCCCTATCCGTCCGTCCGGACGTCCATCCACAATTGTTTGTGAACAGTCTACAGGTCACAGTTTTTATCCGATTTCAATGAAACTTGAAATATAGGTTAATCACCCTAAGATCTCGGTTCCTTTCGATATTCTCGCATATCGGACCGTAACTTCCTGAATTATGGCCCCTGATTGTACGAAAAATCACTTTCTTTTTAGCTTGTTCTCTATCCATCTCTCGAAAATGTGGGCGTATCCACTGGTTAACACTGACAGATTCTTATCAAATTTGGTGTAAAGCATTGTGAACGATCCCTATAGATATACAGCATTCTGCAGTTTTCAGTTTCAATTTTTTCCTCTCTTTGCTGAAATACCCAGTTTGGTCAAGATCCAAGTTTTCCTTTTCAGTTAAGCTGCTGTCGAGACATTGCTGCTGTGTGGGCATGTTTGAGCAAAATTATGAATATACATTCAGTCGAATGATTTTGTCTTTTTTTTTTTTAAATACAATTTTTTTGTAATTTTCATATGCTCAACTGTATATCCTGCTGTCTTTATTTATTGTTCAGATTTCATGTATTATATACTAAAGATTGTACGATTTCATGTATTATATACTAAAGATTGTACGATTTCATGTATTATATACTAAAGATTGTACGATTTCATGTATTATATACTAAAGATTATAAAATTTTATGTGACTTGTTATTGTAACTTATTATTATTATTGTCATCACATCAATTGTCTTCAATAAAAAAACATCTAATGAAATTCAGGCAAGGTTAAAGAAGAAAAGGAAAATGAGAAATTATATGGCCGTACTGAGCCACCACAAGGAAAGTCATCTTTGCCAAAGGGTAGGATTAATGCGTGCGGTATTAATTGCATGACCTGAATAACATTCATATTAACCCTTTAGGTACCAGACTGAAAAATTCTAAGTGTTATCAAATGTTTAACCTTGACAGCAAATTGAGTTGGAAATTGCAAGTCACAAGTCATTGTTTATGATATATGAACAAAAATGTCAATATAGGCTAAAAATGATAATAATTATAAAATAAAAAAAAATTGTTTATTTGTCAAGTCTATACTTTTACCTTTCATCTTATATCATTACTGGTAAATCCGTCTTCATTAGCCCAGACGGTACACAACATGTAGGACGATAAACCCTATTTATCATATATCATTTAAAAGATAGCCTGGGGTGACGGTGGCTAAGTGGGTAAGACGCTAGCTCGCTAGCCTGGAGGTCAGGTGTTCGATCCCTGCATTGTCCGAAAAAGTTCACCCAGATTTTCCGGCATGGTTCCCCCTTGTCAGTGATGCAGGACGGAGAGCCTGACAAGGACAGCTGTCTAGTCATTCGGATGAGACGGAAAACCGAGGTCCCGTGTACACATTGGCGTGCACATAAAAGATCCCTTGGCAGTTGGAATTCGATATAAGAGTAGGCCATAGTGCCGCTGTCCGGGCAAAATTTCCCTCATAGCACACTGTATGACGTATGCCCGTCTTCATTAGCCCAGTTCGGAGCAAAACAGTAGGATGTTAAACCCCATTTCCTTTCATTTTCAAAAGGTAGCCTATTTTAACATTTTTGTTCACATCGTAAAGATTTGTGACTTCCAACTCGTTTTGCTACAACAGGGTAAAATTAGGCCTACTGTTTTAGTGGCAGTTGGGGCGTTTTAGTATAGTCAGAAGACAGTTTGGTGCTTAATGGGTTAACAAACTCGGCATGGCTTGAAAAAATATATATACTCATTTTCAAATCATAATTTCCACATTCTGCTTTTATAACCCTGGAATGGTTAATGAAATAACAGTTATTGTTTTGCTCTCGATGAAATAACAGTTATTGTTTTGCTCTCGATGAAATAACAGTTATTGTTTTGCACTTTAACCATGACATTTCCCATTAAGGATGGGTACTGATACTGTGGCAAACATTGTAAAAATGGGAAGGAAACCATTTTTCTGGGGTTTTGGGTATAAAAATGAATGTAATAATCTGGTAGAGAACATTAATTGTTGATCCGACAGCTTCTCATACACCTACCTGTATCAATACTACCATTGCCTATTTCTATATTTTCTGTGCACTATAACAAATTCTCTATACAAACTAACACTATCTACCGATTTCTTTAACCTTTGAAATTCTTATCTAGTTTTAAAAAATTAATATTTCTGAGTGCTCACATTTAATCCTTTTTCTATCACCAATTTGTAAAATTTACTACCAAATTCTTTTTGTAAATCATTTTTTCATGTGTCCTTTTTCTTTTTGTTTTGTTTTATGTCTTAAAAATTTTGACTTTTTCCTGGACAGATTTAAAAATGTTTTTTTCTTTTTCAAACTTTAGTGGTTCAGTCCCTTTTTGATAAAGAATATCTTTTGTTTTTATCTTTAATTACTAATGGTATTTATTTTCTTTTCAAATTTTATGCTGTGTAACGTAGAGAATATTAAATTTCTGATATAAGATACTAGACGTTTCTTGCAAATAGTAATATCATATTAAATCCTAAGAAAACAAAAACCTAATTTAGGTAAGGCCAAACCAATTTAATCTTCAGTTCTTCAGGGTCTTGATAGATAAATAGTCACTTGAATCACATGAAAGATGTTTTCTTTAAAATTTCAAAAGATTTAGAATCGTGAAACCAAGTACTCTTAGTTTTTAAATTAGTCTTTTCCCGATGGGGAGGATTCGTGGCGTCATGGTTAACGACTGCACGTTGGATCGTAAGTTCTGTCATTGAGTCAAGTGGCTTGGGTTTTCTTCCACTGCTAACTAAAGACCTCTACACGCAAGCAAATTATTGAAATAAAATTGAACCATATGTTAGTCTCAATATACCCTAGTTTGTGTCAAGTGGATGTTAAACCCCATTTCTCTCTTTTTACCGTAGAAAAGAAAATCAAATTGGTGTGGCCTAGTAATAATTTTATTGTAGACAGATAAACACCTCTGTAATGTATGTAGTTTAATTCGTTCCACCTTTGTCTGTCTTTCTGCCTGTCAATATAGTACCTAGAAGACCTACTGTAGAAAATGCACAGCCACCAAAACCTACAACTGAACCACTTTCAGTTCCAGATCAAAAAGAGGAAGAGGGTAAGATTTAACCAATGCAAAATAGTAAAGAGAGCAACATAGTCATTCAACAACAAATTTCATAAAAATTTCATAATAAGAATCAAACCAAAATTAATGGCTGATTGATTTCCTTGTTAAACATACCTCAAAAAATTTAATTTCCGTGCTATCATAAAACAATAGGAAAAGATCAATATCAGAGCACCCAAAGTTACAGATACGGCATGTAAATTTCATAACTTACAAACTGGTGCAGACTGGGCCTCAAATCGTCTGAGGGCCCGGTGGGGCAGTGGCCCATCGGTACCAATTGGAAAGAAAAATTGACATAATTTTGTTTCAAAATAAAGTATATCTTCAAATTGCCTGAAAAATATAATGGCTTAATTAAGAGGAGAAAAATGATAAACGAGTGGGGTGTGGGAAAGGTGAATAAAGCTATTTCCTTTATCTTATCATGTCGGTATTCTTCCCAGTGATGGAGGCCCAAGGACACCATTTGGTCCGAGGATCTTGAGCCACCCAGTGTGCACCTGAGTGCAACAACATTCTTTGTCTCTCATGTTCTGAACTGAACATTTTGTTCTGAACATAACATTTCTGGTGGAAACGAACAAACACGGTATCTACATACAGCTATGGCAAAAAGAGTATATTATACTGAACAGTGTTGACTTAATGATTATGTTTTATTTAAATTATGTTATTGCCATTCTCATAATCAAAGAAAGAACATGATGTTTGTGCTATGATGGACTGACTGAACATAAGGCATATTGATTATCGTCATTCATTCTCATTAAAACAAAATAAGCTGTATAGATCTATAATCTATAATACATAGTATATACTTTTGGAAGAACAATTACCTAACATACTAAATTGTTCTTACATACGGGGGGGAGGGGGATTGGCCAAATGGTTAACATGTGCACGCTGTATCAAAAGGTTTGTCATTGAGTCAACTGGCGTGATTTCGATTTCCCTGTTGTTCGTGACAAGGGGTAGGGTCGCCTGTCCAACCTCATCGGTTTTCCCTAGGTCTTCTGGTTTCCTCCCACTGCTAAAGACCCTACGTGCAAGCGAATTATTGAAATAGAATTGAACCATATGTTAGTCCCAAAATGACCTAGTTTGTGTCAAGTGGACATTAAACCCCATTTCTCTCTCTCTCTCTCTCTGTTCTTACATACGTATGTGTTATAGTTTATTGATCTATCCAGTTACTAAATGCCTCTAAAGGATTAGCTATATAGAGATGGTTGAATCTTCTATAATAGCTCCAGAAATTATAGAAAGAGTTCCAGAACCAGAGAAGACGTCGCAACCAGCAATGCCAGAAAAAAGTGAAGAAGAACCTGTAAAACCGATTCCAAAAGACACAAAATATAAATCAAAACCAAAAGAAGATCCAGTTCCCAAGAAAGTGCCTCAAAAAGAAGTCAAGAAGGAAGAACCAGCCAAGAAACAGAAACCCTTTATACCTCCACCTGGAGCCAGAAAAGAGAAAGTAAAACCAGCACCTCCAGCAAAACCGGCACCTGTCCCAGAAACTAAGCCTGACTCTGAACCAACTGGTGAGATGTTATAAAATGGTTGACATTAACAGTTAATGTTGTTAATTTCTAATATTTCATCAATTTTAATGTTGTCTTCTACTAACAATTTTTATTTAATGTAAATGTTATATTGCTTAATAAACAGGAACTAGGGCTTCTTAAATCCCATTTTTATGAGATTTGAGCTTTGTTTCATTTTAAATGATAATTTCAAATGTTGCTGTTTTCTGGCAATGATAATTCAATTTTTTTTTTTTTTTTTTTTTTACAATCATTAATTGAAACTTTGTTTCAAAATTGATCAATTTAAATATTGCTTTGTTCTACCTATAATCAATTCAAATGTTGTTTTGTTCTAAAAATGATCAATTCAAATGTTGTTTTGTTCTAACAATGATCAATTCAAATGTTGCTTTGTTCTAACAATGATCAATTCAAATGATGTTTTGTTGCTTTGTTCTAACAATGATCAATTTAAATATTGTTTTGTTCTAACAATGATCAATTCAAATGTTGTTTTGTTCTAAAAAATGATCAATTAAAATGTTGTTTTGTTCTAACTATGATCAATTCAAATGTTGTTTTGTTGCTTTGTTTTAACAATGATCAATTCAAATGATGTTTTGTTGCTTTGTTTTAACAATGATCAATTCAAATATTGCTTTGTTCTAACAATGATCAATTCAAATGTTGTTTTGTTCTAAAAATGATCAATTCAAATGTTGTTTTGTTCTGACAATGATCAATTCAAATGTTGCTTTGTTCTAACAATGATCAATTCAAATGATGTTTTGTTGCTTTGTTCTAACAATGATCAATTCAAATATTGTTTTGTTCTAACAATGATCAATTCAAATGTTGTTTTGTTCTAAAAAATGATCAATTAAAATGTTGTTTTGTTCTAACAATGATCAATTCAAATGTTGTTTTGTTGCTTTGTTTTAACAATGATCAATTCAAATGATGTTTTGTTGCTTTGTTCTAAAAATGATCAATTCAAATATTGCTTTGTTCTAACAATGATCAATTCAAATGTTGTTTTGTTCTAACAATGATCAATTCAAATGTTGTTTTGTTCTAACAATGATCAATTCAAATGTTGTTTTGTTGCTTTGTTCTAACAATGATCAATTCAAATGATGTTTTGTTGCCTTGTTCTAACAATGATCAATTCAAATGTTGTTTTGTTCTAACAATAATCAATCCCTTTTTTACTTTGATCATATCAACTGATATTTTGTTTATACAATGATCATTCAAATGTTATTGTTTTGTCTAAGGCTGAGCCAATCAAATTTTTAGTTCTTTGCAGTTTGGTTGTATGTGACAAGGAGTAGGGTCGCCTGTCCAACCTCTTGGGTTTTCTCCAGGTCCTCCGGTTCCTCCCACTGCTAAAGACCCCTACGTGCAAGCAATAAATTATTGAAATAAAATTGAACCATGTTTTAGTCCCAAAATGACCGGATGTGACATTAAATGATACATTATTTGAACAACTTATATATGGTCCAATATATGATAAATATTGTCCAATATATGATAAATATTGTCCAATATATGATAAATATTGTCTAAAATATATAATATAAATATTGTCCAATATATTGTATCAGTTATGTATGATAATATGTATTGATATTGTTTGATAATTGCTTGTGTTTGATTTGTGCTTGATTGCTTTCTGTGAATAATTGATTGCTTATATAGGGTACTGTCGCTTTTAATTTGTTATTGTGAGTGTGGAGTTATCTATCGAAAGCTTTTGTGTATTTTAAAAAAAGAACAACAATGCCTTATTGATTACTCATTGATCTATGTACAACAAAGACGGTTTTGTTATTATATCAGATGAGATTTTTCAGATTCAGATAAGAACTCCCACCACCATCCAATTTAATTCTGTTTTGTGAAGATTTAGTGGAATTCAATCAGTGAACTTTTTTGGAATGAAATTGTAAACAGCTGAAGCAAAATCAGCTGAATATAGGAATTTAAAACTTCTATTGCGAAGAAATATCCCAACTATACTGTAGATAAATCAAATTTAAAAAGCGCTTGTTATTCATACCAAAGAGATAGTCTTCATTATGTTTTCCCTTACCAATGACTCTTTCTTTTTATGGATAGGTCTTTAAATCATAATATTTCTAAAGAACCTTATTTTTGATTGTTTTAAGGTAAACCCAAGGAAAAGAAAGCTAAAGCACCCCCTCCACCACCACCAAAGAAAGAAGAGAAGAAGAAAAAAGGAAAGAAAACGAAGAAGTCAAAGAAAGCTGAAGAAGTCGCTTCTGTTAGCCCCCCTGTTGCTGTACCTGTACCAGAAGACAAACCTAGTCCAGTTAAAGAACCAACAGCACCAGTACCACCAAAATCCATCACCCCACGTCTTGATTCTGGAGTCCGGTCTGATAGTAGAAGTGTAAGTGTCCCATTTAGAGTAGATTTTGTGGTTATTTCTATAATTTATCCTTGTGTCTATTCTGATCTGATAACGGAGTTGATTCTGGTGACCATTCTGATAGTAGATTTAATTCTGGTATCCATGCATCCTGATAGTAGAGTTAATTCTGGTATCCATCCTGATAGTAGAGTTAATTATGGTTTATATTCTGATAGAAGAGTTGATCTGGGTGTCCACTCTGATAGTAGAGTTAATTCTGGTATCCATTCTGATAGTGGAGTTAATTATGATATGTATCCTGATAGAAGAGTTGATTCTGGCGTCCACTCTGATAATGGAGTAAATTCTGGTATCCATTCTGATAGTGGAGTTAGTTATGATATGTATCCTGATAGAAGAGTTGATTCTGGCGTCCACTCTGATAATGGAGTAAATTCTGGTGTCCACTCTGATAGTGGAGTTAATTCTGGTGTCCATTCTAGTGAGTTATATCTGATAGTAGGGTTTATTCTGTTGTACATGTCCACTCTGGATAGTGGTTGATTCTATTGTAAGTACCACATTTAGAATTGATTCAGGTGTCATCTGTAATATGATTGTGGAATTATATCTGGTGTCCTGGTATATGAACTGTAATTAAAGATTGATATATATTGCAGTTTGCTACACCTGAATCTGATGGTATGGAGTTTATCATTATAAGAGATAGATCCCCTACACCTGAACCAGAACCAGAATCAGAGAAAGCACCATCACCTCTTAAACCAGATGTAACCGCAGAACCAGAACCTGCTGAAGAAAAAGAAGATTCTGATGTAAGTCAACTTTTAGCAGGTACAGGTCAAATTTGGGGCAAGGATGTCTTAATCCTGGGATGTATGTAATATGTATGTTTGTAGGATTGTCTTTCTGGTCTCACTGGTTTTCCCTTTGTTCTTCAAACAGCTAAAGAAACCCAATTGCAAAGAAATAAATGACAAAGTATGTTTCAGTTCAGTGGACATCATAAGCTCTATTTCCTTATGTATTTATGTTTAATTTTGCAGGATGAAAATAAACTAAATTTAATTTCAAACAAAGATGCTAGAGCAGCTAAACGTGCAGCAGCTGCTGCTAAACGAAGAGAAGAAGTTGACAGAAAGAGAAAAGAAAGAGAGGAGGAAGCCAAGAGAGAAAGAGAAAAACAGGAAAGAGATAGGCAGAGAGAAATTGAAGCAGAAGATGCTAGAAGGAGACAAGAAGAACAAAGAAGGTTAGTTGTGTTCTTAGCAGTTGGAGAGCAGAGGTGGCTGGCTTGCTAACCAGTGGATCGACCTGTTGATCCTGGTAGTGGCCAAGAAAGTTCACCAGGATTTTCAGTGGTGGTGGTGCTGGACATAGGATGGGTTGATAAACAGAGGTATGCATGTAAAAGAACCCTTGACAGTTGGAATAATATAGCACACTGTAAGGCATATGCCCATCGTTCATTAGCCCATAGGATGTTAAACAGCATAAATTATAAAATGTTTTTTGAAATGACTAAACCATTGCCAGATTTACAAAAACTCTAATTGTAACAAATTCTGTAAAGTTTGTTCTAAATTATAGATTGCGAAAGCAGCAAGAAGAATCTGATAGATTGCGTGAAGAACTAGAATCTCGAGAACGAGAGAAGCGAAGACTACAGGAAATAGAAAGAGACAAAAGATTAAAGGAGGAAAGACAACGAAAATTTGAAGAAATGAGAAGAAGACAACTAGAAGAGGAACAGAAGAGATTAGGTACGCCCACCTGACCGAATTAATGACAAACTTTATAAGCACCATTTCTTTATTAATTTATGTTTAATTTTGCAGATGAGAATAAACTGAATTTAATTTCCTCTCACTGCTAAAGACCCCCTACCCACAAGCGAATTACTGAAATAAAATTGAAGCATCTCTCTCTCTCTCTCTCTCTCTCTCTCCCCCTCTCCCCTCTCTCTCTCTCTCTCCAACAGCTAAACTATTCTAAAACATTTTGTATATATCTTCAGAATTATTGCTGCTTAGACAAGCTGAAGAAGAAGAATTATATAGATTAGAAGAAGAGAAGAAATCACAGATGGAAGAGCAAGAAAGAATTGAATATGAGAGACGGATGAAAGAAGAGGAAGAATTAAGAAAGCAAAAAGAGGCCTTAGAAAAGTAATTGTTTTAATTATGTTCCTAATGCATCAATCAATATTATAGTCCACATTACAGTTTTTAACAGATTATTTTCATATTTGGTTTGAAGTATTGGGTGATGAGAGGAACACTATCAATATTCAGCAGAGTTATCCCCCTTCGCAAAATATCAATTTTTTTTAAACATCCAAGTTTTTCTTTCGGATCAGCTGCTCTCGAGACATTGGCGCTGTGTAGGCTTATTTCCATGGTCATTTGAAGTTTACACTGGTTTCTATTGATTAACACTGCCATGTGTTTTACACAAAGTAATAATTATTCTGCTACCATATCTTTTTTATACATCTACATTTTGTGTGGGAGTATATTGCCGTTGCCTCTTAAATCATTTGTCCTTTGGTCTGTCCAGAATTCTGGGGAATGCTCTACAGGTCAAGCTAGCTCGAATTGTTTAACTAGTTCTAAGGAGGAACCCTATCAAAATTCAAAATCATATAACACATTTTCACAGAGTTACTGCTCATGGCATTGAAACACTCTACAGTTTTTGGAGTAGGGTAGGTAGGAATTACATTCCATACCATAGATATTGAAAGTACTTTGTCAGATTTACAGAAGTGTTCTCATACAATGATTTTTTTTCCCAGACAACGCCGGGAAGAAGAAGCAGCCAGACTGATAGAAGAAGAGAGACAGAAAGCTATAGCTGAAGCTAGAAAGAGAGCTGAACTTGAAGCTAGATTAAAATTCACTCGCTCTTTACAACTGGAATCCCAGGGCTTGTCTGAGCATTCTCATCAAATCAGCGAAGCTTTTGTATTCTCGTATTATGAGATTTTGCAATGGTTAGGTTTAGACATACCAGAATTCGAATTACAGAAGTTGGAGCAAATGTAAAGGAAAACATAAGTTACTAGTCAATTAATCATGAAGTTATCACTCCTTTTGCATAACATTTACGTTTCTTTTTTTATTAATACTCCAACAATAAAATTGTTGTTGGACAGTTTTATAGTTTCAAATTTTGTTTTACTACACTTAGATCTGGAGAAGTTGTTCAATAGCCTGCTTTCTGGGTGACATGAGGAATTAGCCAATCAAATAGTTTGTGGCGTCAAATTCTCATCTTTTTATTTGCATAATTGTGGGTACATATTTGTAACAATAGAAAACCAAACAAAGCAAAAATTGTATTTATGAATAGTTACTTAAAACACCATCGCTACAACCGGTCAGATCTTCATGTAGTGGAGGTCATCAAAATATAGATCTGTATTTAAATTGGATTAGTTGCTGGACCAATGTTTCAAATAATGTATGTAGTAAATGCCTATAAAGTTTTCAATTTAAAAGTATTGTTTATAAAGTATTTTATTTCAATTTGTATATATAGCTAATTTGTAAATTTCTGTAGTTTATTGTTTACTTATTGTATATAGTTGTATATTGAAGAGATGTCTTATTTTTAAACATAATGACTATTGTCTCAGATGTTAAGGGATGTCTTATTTTTAAACATAATGACTATTGTCTCAGATGTTAAGGGATGTCTTATTTTTAAACATAATGACTATTGTCTCAGATGTTAAGGGATGTCTTATTTTTAAACATAATGACTATTGTTTCAGATGTTAAGGGAAGTCTTATTTTTAAACATAATGAATGTTGTCTCAGATTTTAAAGCATTATAGTCCATGTATTTTAATTAAGAAAATGTCTCAATTACGATACTTTTCAATTATACGTTGCTCAAATATTATTATCAAAGAGATTTTTATATTGTTTAAAACTATTTAATACTTCTGTGTAGAATTTTGAGTCTTTCAAACATTTTAACTGATTTGTTAATCAAATTATGGTGTAATTTGGGGGAACCAGTGATTGTATATTTTTTATTGCATTCATTTTGTTTTAACATTTAAAGCAATATGCATCTGTAACATTCAGCACACTCCATCTGAGTTTTGCAACATATAACGTCTTAAACTTATCAGGAGTAAATAATAGCTTGGTTGCCAATATCACTGATAGGGATAATATTGAGGCCATTTAATTAGCCTTTGATGATAACTTTTTTCTTCTGCAAATTAAATTCTAAAACAATTTCCTATTTAGTGAAAATGGGTATGGTACATAAAATGAGAAAAAAGCACCAATTCTGCCCGGACCAGTTTGTATATTTTTATAAACAATATTTTTATTCAAAATAGGGAATAGGCATAGCCTATATTAACCCCCCTCAATCAGTTTGTATCACTAGGTCCGATGTAAAAAAATGCATGTGTTATCAACACCATATAATGTGACGTCACATGTAGTACTATATTGGGTGTGACCTTAAAGATCTGTTATCATGTATAGAGTTAAAAGAAGGGCTGTGAAAGCTTGGTAATGTCTGTTAATATAACACTAATATAGTCTATACTACAGTGCTCTATTGACTATCCTATATTGATCACGCCTGTCCAACATCATTGATTTTCTCCGGGTCCTCCGGTTTCCTCCCACTGCAAAAGACCCCTACACGCATGCGAGTTATTGAAATAAAATTGAACCATATGTTAGTCCCAATATGACCTAGTTTGTGTCGAGTGGACATTAAACCCTCTCTCTCTCTTTCTCTCTCTCTCTCTCTCTATATATATATATATATATTGATCAATCTATGAGGCTCATAGTATGAGCTGTAAACCTGCTCAGACCATAGGCACTTGTATAGGGCCTATTAGTATATAATGATACCAATTAATTTAGCTGGGGGTAAAAAGGGTGTCTATGCTTTCTTACATAATTAAAAATTCGCCTGTTCTCATTGTCATATTTTTGGAAAGATTTTGTTGTTTTTATACGCCCACATTTTCACGTGGACATATGTTGACGTCATCCCTGTTCGTCCATCTGGACGTCTGTCCACAATTTGTTTGTGGACATTCTACAGGTCACAATTGACGAAACTCGAAATATAGATCTATCTCCCAAAGATCTCGGTTACTTTCAAAATTAGCATGTAACGGACCGTAACTTCATGGATTATGGCCCCTGATTGTACAAAAATTCACATCATTTTTTTTTTAACTTGTTCTCTGTCCATCTCTTGCAAAATGTGGGCATATCTTGCATGGCAACCGCTTGTTAATATTTATGTTTAGACTTTACGCATGTTGATGTTGAGATCAGACTATTGGGCCACTTCCTGGATCCACATAAGGGATTTCCTTACCATGTTCTTGCCTTAAACAAGTCAGATACAATGATTCTAATCTCACCAATATGATATTTTGTGCACATACAATGTACCAGATTTGGAGGTTACCCAGTTGTCGGAGAAAAATTGAGTAATTCATCCTTTTATAAACTAATGATGTCAGATATGGACATTTTAACTCCAAAATAATCAGCAGTTTTGGTCAAATTTACGACATCTTGATGACATACTAAATCTAAAATCTTTTAAAATAAATATAAAATACAATTATAAATCAAATAGATAGGTGTGATTAGAAATAAAAAGACAAAAATTGTATTTTTTTTTTTAAAAAAAATTTTGAGGCGTATAATAGACAGGTCTTCATATTTGCATCTTGACATAACCGGCTTCCATAACGGTTACCACCGTTACAAGATACCGTATCTCAGCATTATCTGTTATATTAATATTTTAACATGATGGATATTAACATAGCATAAAAACATAGTTTATATAGAAAACGATGACTGGCTTGTACACATATAGCAAAACGACGTTTGGACAAGTTTTCTCTTGTTAGTTCTTCTTCCTTGAGTCTTAATGTCCGCTTTCACCTTGGGTGATATCGCAGACAAGTGTTGCCAGGGAAACTTGCAAGAGGAGCCAAATGAGAAGCTTGTCCCGCACAGGTAGGAGACGGTTGGGCGGTTCATTTCCTTTAGATAAATATTCCTCGATTGTACGTGACAAGGAGTAGGGTTGCTTGTCCAACCTCGTGGGTTTTCTCTGGGTCTTCCCACTGCTAAAGACCCCTACTATTTTGCACTGACTAGGCTAATGAAGACAGGTATACGCCAGTGTGCTATGAAGGCAGTTTGGACCCGACGGCAGCGCTACCGCCTACTCTAATTTCGAATTTCAACTGGCCAGTTTCTTTTACGTTTATCCCAACAAGTAGACACTTTCCTTGCCAGGCCCTCCGCATAACATACAGAAGAACTTTCTTGGCCAGCATCAGAATCATACCCGAGATTTGTTGGACAGTGAGCCAGTGCCCCCCGGAATGCATTTTTGGGTGGTAATAAATAAATATCCTGTGATATTCTGTTAATTGTATTTATATAATGCTCAATTATGAATTATTTAAAATAAATAAAACATTTATTTATAGAAATATTTAAAGGAGGCCTTCATATTGTCTGTAATCAGAATGTGAATGCTTTACAAATAAATAAAATGAAATCTGATATATTTCAATTAAAAAATTTATTAAATGAGATCATTTTGAGTTTTTATTTGCCCACATATCTAAACCTGTATTGTCATTGTTCGTCGGTGCGTCTTTTCGGACTACAAAGGACTAGTATAAGAGAGTTATCGATCAAATTTCATAACTATCGGATCGTAAATGTTGTAAATATTTAATACCAGTAATGTAGTTCTATTTATTGAATTCTCCACCCCACACACAAATTAGCATTGCACATTTTATTGATTTTTTGGTCTAGACTCGAAGAAGAGTGTTCGAGTTCGAATTGCACTGTACAAGAGCTGGCTAAAAAGTTCTAAGACCATCTGTAAAAGACCTGAATAAAGTCGATAGTTTCTTTTTTTGTGTGTGTGTCTTCGAGTTCGAGGTGTACACATCTTTGCCAACGACCTTGCAAGGCCTGGATGCCAGTCATGAAGAAATCGTTCACAGCTGACATAACGTAATCAGTCCTTGGAAAATGTCGCCATGTACCTGTTTTGGCGTTGGTCCTTTCAGTTGCAGGTACTTGATGACTATCTGATGTCTATGATTCATTCAATGATTGTTTCACCCCAATTGGTCTATCTTTTTCAGGCATGAATCATCATAGGGTTGTAGGGGCTGGAATTCTGAATTGATCATCTTGGAACATTGTATACTGAGCGCCATAGAAAACGCATCACTTTTTTTTCCCAAATATTTTATTACTAGGTGGTTTTGTATGTATAATATTATGCAATACTATGAACTATTGTTTCACACAATGCTCCCAAACGCAAAAAATATCGGCCCGTGTGCAAAAAAAAAAAAAAATTGCACGAGATGCAGCATTGTGTGTGAGCCCTTTAAAAGCATGTTTTCAACTTAATGTGCAGTACATAAACTGTGAAACGTCAATCCGTCGTAATTTGTTGTTGGACGTGTGAAAGAATCGAGCTAGAGATGCCGAGACTTACTGAAAATCAAAGCAATGAAGCCATGGGAATGTCCAGGGCTAGCATGTCTACACGTGCTATTGCCAGACACTTCAATTGTCATCAGTCCACTATTGTAAGGTTGGTGGAACGTGTTCGAGTTACTGGATCAACACGTGACCGTCAACGTCCTGGTCCACAACGCGTTACAACCCAGACTCAAGACCGCTACATCCGGGTCACTGATCTGCGTGACAGATTCCGCCCAGCGACTCGAACAGGTGCAGCAGTCGTCGGGAGACAAGGACCAGTAAGTGCCAACACCGTAAGACGACGTCTAAGAGAAGTAATACTCCGTGCACGACGACCTTATGTTGGAGCTATCCTCAGGGATCATCACCGTCAGTGGCGTTTGTTATGGGCTCAATGACACCAGACATGGAGAAGAGTAGACTGGCAAAGTGTGCTTACCAGTGATGAGAGTCGCTTTCATCTTTATCACGCTGATGGCCGTCAACGTGTGTGGACACGTCTTGGGGAACGTCTTGCAGACTGCTGCGTCTTCGAAACGAATTGATGGGATGGGGGAAGTGTAATGGCGTAGGGAGGCTTCACATTTCATCACCGGACCACCCTACACATTTATAGGGGTCGCGTTAATGCTGTAGCCTACCGTGATGATGGCCCATGGAGGACACACGCGCTACTAACATCTGTGTCGTACTTTTGGTTTTGACCCCTCTGACTTTGTATCCTTGATTACAGATTAAACATCCATAAGTGTACAAATGTGTTGTTATTGATGTGTTACCATTTGAATATTGTTCACAATAAGAAGCAAAATAAATAAGATATGTTTACAGGATCATTTTGTTATATATTTATTCCTTTTACCGTAAGGACAGTAACTATTTTTTGGCAAAACAAACCCAACGCATATCCTTCTTTGCCTCTTGTCGTATTACAATCGTTGCAGCCATTGCAGCACTACCGCTGGCATGATCGTCTAAGTGGTTGACTCTGGGCTGCTACTGTTGTATCTCTTTTCTTAAGGACTTGACCATTAAGTTTTCTCAAATATGTAACAGAAACAATGATAGCTTTTTTTTCTATACGTTTTATATCATAACAGTTAAACAATAGTCTACATTACAATATTTAAAATTAACATCTCTTTCTCTCCAACCCCACTCCTGTAAAAGTCTAACCAGTGTTACTAGACCCAGGAAACCACTACATCGTGAAATAGTCGTCTAGAGAAACCAATGCGTGTCTGACTATTCTAGCCCCCACTCCCTCTTTTATAGGTGCCTATTCTTTTGTCTGTGATGTTTAGGTAAAAGACTGATAACAGCTAAATTCCAAATATGGAATGGACATGCACCCAACCCTGGATATCGACAGGGATTGTTACCTAATTTGGTCAATAAATATGATATATGTTTTATAACAAAGAAACATGTAAATGACAAACATGTTCATTAATATATAGCTTAGTTAACTTATCAAAACAACCTGCACACTTGCTAAATTTCTTGATTATGAATTTAGAATCAATAATTTGTAAAGATAACAGTATTGTTTCAGCCATCATATTTCGGCATTCCTTATCTATAAATTTGAAAACAATGTCGCAACGACAATATTGTTACACAATTTCACGTTTCATTTTATGCATTTGAAAAAGCACTATTACCAATGCCGGATTTAAAGGGCAATATTGGTGTCAGTCATAAACAGCTGGATAAACACGTTCAAAATATAATTTTAACACAGAAATCATTGCTACGATAGCTGAGTAATACAGGTTTCCTGAATCGGAAGTGACGAACGCCAAAGGAAAACACCAGTCATCTCTCTATATAACTGACTGATGTGATGAGTGATAACAGATATATGGGCGAATTTCTGCTCACTAATAATTCCTTCGAAGACCAAAAGTTGTTGTGTGAGACTGTGAGAGGATATCTGACAATTCATAAAAAGAATTGACTGCCACTAGATAAGTGAACACGAAAGAAAAACAGAAAAAGTCCGTGCATTACCATGTTTTTATAAGGTATAGAATGAATATAAACAAGGGAATGTACGGACTATTTCTATTTTTCTCGTGTACTCTTATCTAATGACATTCAATTACTTTATTGAATTGTCAGGTATCCTCTTACAGTCCCATATAACAACTTTTGGTCTTGGCAAGAATTATTAGTGAGCAGAAATTCGGCCGTGTATCTGTTATCACTCGTCACATCAGTCAGTTATATAGAGGGATCACTGGTGTTTTCCTTTGGCGTTCGTCACTTCCGATTCAGGAAACCTGTATTACTCAGCTATCATAGCAATGATCTCTGCGTTAAAATTATATTTGGAACGTGTTTAACCAGCTCTATTACATATGTGATAATGACTGGCACCAATATTGTCCTTTAAATGCAGAGATGGGCCCTATATGATATCCCACTTATGAGACCCCTCCCAATCTCCCACCCTCACGAATAGAGGAAGATTGAAGTGTGTTTTAAACAGGGGCCACGGTGGCTAAGTGAGTAAGACGCTGACTCGCTAGACTGGGGGTAGTAGGTTCTCTACCGGTGTTGGCCGAGAATGTTTAATGGGATTTTATGGCATGGTTTCGGGCAAAATTCTTCTTCATAGGAAACCGTATGGCGTATACGACGCCATCATAAGTCCAGTCGGAGTAGGACGTTAAACTCCATTTAATTTTCGTGTTTTAAACACATCTGAGCCGATAGGATGACGACGGGTTCAGTCTGCCAAGCCTATGGGTAAACCCAGCACCGAATAACACCTAAAACATCTAACGACAACCTACAAATGCTTTAATTCACATACGAAAGCAATATTTTAAAGACCACATAAGGTGAAAAATCTTAATTGCATGTACTTATAGCCAATGGTTACTATATCCATTTTACGGCAAGTTCAAACCAATCTGATTAAAATTAATTGTTGTTTCTAAATTCTTATGTCAACATTTTTTGCACAAAATCAACATTTTAAACAACAAATTGTCTTTGACTTTCTTTTTTGGCATTTTATCCTTAACATTCTTATATCATAAAATATTAAAATAGAAAAATAATTTTAGACGACAAAGAAATTAATATATTATAGGTTTCTTAAAGTATTAAAAATGCTATACTTGAAAATATTTTCTTTGCTTCAAAAAGTCTAAGTTAAAATCTTGATATAAAAATATTCAGAAATTTCCTATGTACAACTTTCATGCAGGATATAGATTAGAAATCAAAAGTAGACTTTCCACCGACTGAGGTGGATCCTTCCGGTCAGAATTTTGAGCCATTTGTAAAAAATTCCCAAATGGTTATATCCTCAAAAATCAAACGTGGTCAGACTTCCAGTCTAATATAATGTTAAAATAAGCCCGAAATATTATCTGTTTGTTGTAAAACTTTTAGAGCATGGCCCACTCTACATAAGAATGTATAGAAACACGAATCATTAAAATTGTCTCATTTTGTCTTCCATAGCAACAAGCCACGAGGGAATTCATAATTTGCTAATTGCATTGTGGTGATGATTTGAAAGGGCTAGTTTATGTTCTCGATGGGATTCCAATCAATTATAAATGAGTTTAATAAAGACGATTACATAGGTCAACTAATAAAAAGTATTTTTATTCGTTTGTTGTAACGTTATGTGTATGAGATCCGTACACACAAACCTGCGTACATGACTAACTACGCAGCGTACCGTTATAACAAAACAAAACAAATCCAATATGTAATAATATAACTTTGTACGGGATTGATTATTTTCACTTGGACAAGATTATAGTCATTTGTGTAAATTTCACAAGTTAAAGACCACCAGAAAACATTCATAATTTTTTTGAATAATGCAAGGAATTATGTCAACATATCCTTTCCATAAGTCTAACACAATCCCAAATGTCAATGTTACCTGCCACGCAGGTAAATTTCAACGTGATTGATAACGACAAGAGAATCATTGTTGGACCGTAGCTTTAATAGAAATGCAGTAATTGTTATCCATAGAACTGTTGTGTTTATTTTAATGTGTTCAATTACTAAATGCCATTCAAACAGCGTAAAAACAGGGCTTTTTT